CAAGCCCTACACACCCCCTTTCCTGGGGAGGCTTGAGAATAATATCCTAACCAATTTGTTACAAAATCAAAGACCCAAACCCCTGGATCATGGAACAATAAGAAAATCAGTCAGGTTCTTAAAAGGAGGATTTTATTTAAAAAAAAAAAAAGTTAATCTCTGTAAAATCAGGATGGAAAATACTTTACAGGGTATCCAGATTCAAAACACAGAGGATCCCCCTCTGGGTAAAACCCTAAAGTTACAGAAAACCGCCCTCTTAACACAGGGAAAATTCACATAAAATAAAAGATAAACTAATCCACCTTGCCTGGCTTACCTATACTGGTTGCAATATTGGAGACTTGGATTAGGATGGGTTGAAGAAGATGGATTTCTGTCTGGCCTCTCTCAGTCCCAAGAGAGAACAAACACGGAAACAAAGAGCACAAACAAAAACCTTCCCCTCTTCCTCTCCCCCCAAGATTTGGAAGTATATTGTTCCCTTATTGGTCCTTTGGGTCAGGTGCCAGCCAGGTTAGCTGAGCTTCTTAACCCTTTACAGGTAACAGAATGTTGCCTTTGGCCAGGAGGGATTTTATAGCACTGTATACAAAAAGGTGGTTACCCTTCCCTTTATATTTATGATAAAACCCCGATGGTGTGGCTGATGGTGTCCCTTGAATAAATATTTGGACAGAGCTGGCAATGAGATTTGTTGCAGGGATAGGTTCCTGGGTTAGTGTTTTTGCTGTGTGGGGTGTAGTTGCTGGTATTTGCTTCAGGTTGGGGGGCTGTCTGTAAGCAAGGACTGGCCTGTTTCCAAAGGTCTGGGAGAGTGAGAGATCGTCCTTCAGGATAGGTTGTAGATCCTTGATGCGCTGAAGAGGTTTTAGTTGGGAGCTGAAGGAGAGACAGTCTCCTTGCTCTCAATTCTGGTGCCCAGCAGGACAGCCACCACCAGCAACCTGGAGGAGCACTTGCAGGGGCAATCCTGGTAAGCCCGTTCAGCTCTAGGATGGTTCAGTTGCTCTTTACATGTATCCTCTTCACAGTCTGGACTGCTGTGAAGGAATCATACAGTGCAGATGGAATCTTCAGATAATTTAGCTAGCAAATTCTAACCAGCCTCTATTGAACTGTGACTTCTCAGAGATTTATAATCTAGGCAATTTTTCACCATGTTAACAAAAAAAGACACCTTCCTGACACTATGGCAACTCTCCTACCAAATTTCAAGCCCTTGCTCCAAAGCATGGAGACACTAGAACTTCCCAATAAAGACCCGGTATGGAAAATTTCAGCCTGCTCAGTTTAAGGTTTGCAGTTATAGGCAACTGAAAATGGAATCTTTATAATGGCAAGTGTAACAATCAGCCACCACCTGAGCATCCCTTCACTTAGGGCTTCTCAAAGTCTACAAAGGAGTACTGTATGTGTCCATGTAAGCTTACAATTCACTAGCCAGCACCCTTGCGGTAGCAGTCATTCTGGCCCTGTGGTGGTCTGCTTCTCCTTTTGACTTGCCCCTTCAGCTAAGTCAAAATTCCATCCCTTCCAGGGTAAGCCAGTAATCCAACAACAAACAGTTCAAGTTCATGTTGGACACTCTGAGTCCAGATTACCTAGTATAGGGGTAGGAGAGTTACAGTAGTCCTTACACCTTGTCAGGGAAATGGAACCCAGGTCCTCCCTTCTTCCCTGGATTCCAGTCCAGGGACCCTTGAATAGGCAGTCAAGCCATCACTACACAGACCCTCTTGCTGCTTCTCTAGACCACTTCCTACCTTGCCCTGCCTTAGGCCTTTGCCTCAGCCTGTTCAGTGCATCAGCTCAATGCTCTCTTTGAGCCTTGTCCAAGAGCTTCTTACCACTTTCTGCCACCTAGCTGGTCCTGCTGCAGGAGAGTTTTTCCTCCACCTCCCAGGGCAGTCCCTCACTCATCAGGAGTCTTCCTACTCCCTGTAAGCTCTTCCACCACAGTACAAAATCTTGGGTAGACTCATTTCCTGACACTTTCTTTCCTAACTACCTTGGGCTCCTAGCTACCCCACTGAGCTTCCTGATTCCAGCCAGGCTTCTCTCACTGCCTGAGCTCTATAGGTGGGCTTTCCTTCTTAGTCAGGCCCTAATTGAACCAGGTTCAGCCCTTTTAACTCCTCCCTCCAGGTTTGATACTGCAAGTGTAGTAGGGCAAGGCTGATTGCCCCCATAGGCAATCATTAACCCTTCAAGTCCAGTGTAGGGTTGGTATACCTATCACAGTCCAATAACATCCCTTCTTAGGGTCTGATTTATTAACAAAGAATAAAATCTCTTCTGCCCCCATCACAGGCTAGGCACAGTTTGTTAGACTTTCCCAGGTTCTGCTAAGTCTCTCCCCATAGCCCACCCTGGACTCCTTAAAACACTTCCTACCCTCTTGTGAGCAGCCACTCCAGCTCTTCTACCAGGAGTCTTTCACATGCTCCATAGCGTGCAAGTAGTCCTCCAGACCCAAATGCTTAAAGGAGTCGGTCACCCTGTGGCAAGAAGCGTAGGGCATTCTTCACTACAGGCATTGCTACCTCCACTGCCTATAATTCATAATACATTTTCTGGCTTAACTAGCGGACTACAAATATTGATTTTTTTTTTGAACGTTTGACATCCAGAACAGCCAAACACGTGTATAGCTTTTTTTAGTAGTTCTAATGAAAAAATGCCATAAGGTAACTTTGTGTATGAAACTAATCACTGCAAGATATGTCTGTGAGATGAAAACAGCTTTCTAGTGAGAGAAACATAGCAGTTTGTCAGGTTCAGTCAGCTGCAGGCTCCATTATCTTCCTGCCAACTTTCTAATCCCACAAAGCCAAACACCCTTGCCCTGCCCACTCCACCCCCCCCCCCCATCGCTTGCTCTTCCCTACCCTCACTCACTTTGCCCCAGCCTGGTGAGACTTTGGGTGTGTGTGTGTGTGTGGGGGGGGGTGATGGCTCCAGCTAGGGGCTCTGGAACGGTACCAGAAATGAGGGATTCAGGGTATAGGAGGGGGCTCTGGGATGGGACGGGGTACAGGAGGGAGGAGGTGCAAGCTCTGAGGAGAGGATGAGGGGTTTGGGGTGCAGGAGGGTCTCTAGACTGGGGCCAAGGGGTTTGGAGTGCAGGAGGGGGCTCAGGCCTGGGGTTGGGGTGCATGCTCCAGCTGGGGATATGGGCTCTGGGGTGGGCCCAGGGATGAGGGTTTTGGAGTGCAGGAGGCAGCTCAGAACTGAGGCATTGGTTTGGGGTGTGAGAGGGGGTTTGGGCTCCAGGAGCGAGTTTAGGTATGGGAGGTGGCTCAGGGCCGGGGCCCAGGATTGGTGCAAGAGATGTGGGCTCTGGGAAGGAGCTTGGGTGCAGAAGGGGGCTCAGGGCTGAGGTGTGGGGTGCAGGCTCTGGGAGGGAGTTAGGGTGTGGAAGGGGGTTCTGATCTGCGGTAGGGGGTTGGAGTGCAGGAGAGGGTAAAGGGTGCGGGCTCTGGGAGGGAGCTTGGGTGCAGGAGGCGGCTCAGGGCTGGGGCAGGAATGTGGGAGAGGGCGTAGAGTGCAGGCTCTAGGAGGAAGTTCTGATCTGGGGCATGGAGTTGGACTGCAGGAGAGGGTGAAGGGTAGGGGTTGTGGGAGGGAGCTAAGGTGTGGGAGTGGGCTCAGGGCTGGGGAGCAGGAGGGGGTTTGGGCTGTGGCTGGGCAGTGCTTACCTCAAGCTGCTCCCAAAAGCAGCTGGCATGTTCTGCAACCCCTAGATACAGGGCCTCTTGAGCTCTGCCCACAAGCACAGCCCCGGCAGCTCCCAATGGCTGTGGTTCCTGGCCAAGGGGAGCTGCGAAGCCAGTGCCGCTGCTCGTGGTGGCTGCCTCTGCGCCTAGGAGCCGGACATGCTGGCTGCCACACAGAGCCAGGGCAGGCTAGGAGCCTGAGCAGTCAGGGAGTCTGCCTTACCCCGCCACTCCCTGGACTTTTAGCGGCCTGCTCAGCAATGCTGACCAGATCCCACAGGGTCCCTTTTCGACCTGGCGTTCTGGTTGAAAACCAGCTGCCTGGAAAACCTAGTTGACCAGCAGCCTTGGCATGAGCCAGCACCCAGACTGCCAGCACATCACAGCCTCTTCTTTTTCCTTAACTTCATCCTATTCCACCCACTTGTACCACCCTCTGCCCGTGTTCACAAGCAGCCTCTGCTGTCGTACTTGGAGGAGCTGGGGAGGGTACAAAGGTCTGTGCCCTGCTTCGCGAATGTGCCCCCCCCACCTCTGTGGGGGCATGACGGGGCTCCGCTAGGGAGATGTCTGAGCAGGCTGAGAGGAAGAAACTCCGACATGCCCGCTGCGGGGCGAGGGGTAGCGACCAGGCTGCCTGGGCAGCGGGCTGGGCACCAAGAACCCCGTGGTACGTGGCCGGGCTCTGCCCCACCCCAGGTCACGCGCTGCAGACGGCTCCGCCCGGCCCCACCCGCCGCAGGCGAACGTGGCAGCAGGCGGTGGCGTCCAGCTCCCAGGCGCGGCCATTTTGGATGCGGGAAGCGAGCGGCGGCGCGGGGCAAACCGCGCCAGGGAAGTGGCGCCTCGAGGCCCGGCCAAGGAGCAACCCGCAGCTAGGTGAGAGTGGGTGGGAGATGCCGCCGCCAGGCCGGACAGCGCGCGCGGGAGCGGCCCGGCCTGGCCCCGAGGAGCGTGAGCAGAGCCGCCGGCGGCAGAGAGACGTGGCAACCCGGAGCGGCGGCGGGCATTGCGCATGTGCGCCCCAGGGCTCATGGGAGCTGTCGGCCCTGCGCTGCGTCTGCGCCCCGTTGCTCGCGCTCTGCCCCTTGCTCTGTGAGGCTGCCCGCGCGGGGGTGGGGGGCGGTGCGTCTCCTCCCCGGCGGCCGCGTCAGAGCCGGCTGCGGGGTCACGCCGCGCCGCGGGCCTGTTGCTGCCCTTACCGGGGTCCTTCCCGCCGCCGGGCGGAGCTGCTCTGTAGGCGGCGCTGGAGAGTCTGGCAGCGGGGGCGCAGCCTGGGATCGGGGGGCGCTTCTGCGGAGCGAACAGAAGGGGAACGGTCGAGGCTGCTGTTTAAATAGCGCGTGCAAGGCCCGGAGAGATCGTCACGCCTCTGGGCGCTGTGGCGGCCGGCTCAGGAAGGCCGCCCGAGGTGGGTTTGCACTTGGGTTACCTTGTCAGGCGTTGTTCCTTCCCTGCTTACCGGGGGGTAGGAATGACTTCGAAAAACAAACCAACGCAAAAGCGGGGCGTCTGAAGGGGGCTTTTCTAACAGGGCGTGGGATTCACTGCATGTTCTGCCCATGGACGTTTGCAGCCTTGTTTGTGCTGCCGGTGTAACTTACTGTCATAGAGAATAATCTAGTAACCTACACCCCCAAGTTGGGTGGCTTTTTCTTTCATTTAAAAATTGTGGGATTTATGCATCCTATGAAGATTCGCCCTGTAGTTCATTAATCATTTGTGCTATAGTGTCTCTGATCTAGACGGTAAACTCCTTGGGACAGAGGCCAGCTCTTCTGTCTGATATTTAGCGCCTATCCCTCTGGTATCTGAAGTCTTGTTGGTACAGTGATGATGATTAAATGTTAAATACTCATAGTTTGGCAAGCAAATGTTTCGAAAACGGGTAGTCTGATCATGCTAGAAACGTAAGAAAGGGACTGGTATAGAAAAACTCAAGTAGTTCTGATTTTGGCATTTTCCTCCGGCTTTGAGCATGTCAGCGAGCATCCATTCTTGCTGTGCATAGTCTTCCCTGTGCCCACGTGGCACTTCATTTACATCAGCAGTGCTCTGTCACCCGAGGGGCCTGCCCATCTGCATTTCAAAAAATGTGTGGGATCCTCTTCTGTCAAATGGAACTAACCTCATGTGCTTAGTTTCTTCAGGAGGCTTGTCAAGATTAATTACTCAGTTATAATATCTGATGTTGAAGAAGACACCCCATTGAGTTGTAAATGGGCATCACAGCATGTTCTGATAGTTGCTGTGTCTCTTTTGTTATCTTTTTTTGCTTTGTCCAAGAATGAGCTGAGTGCCACAGGGGTACAAAAGAGAGAGACAGGGTGGCAGAGCTTAAGTTCTTATTCCAGTACCTGTGAGCTGTTTCTGTTCTGTGGCCTTTAATGAGGTTGGCTGTCTGAGGTAAATAGGATGGATTTTAGTGAGCCAGCTCCCCACTTTATAAGCAGATGAAACCATATGTTTCCAGTTTGTATAGGGTGGTACGAATCTGATGTCCTTCAACTTCCCCTAGCCGCACTGATCCTTTCCTCTACCCATACACTCCCACCCCCAAACTAACCTGGTACCTATTTAGACTGGGAAATAATGGCTTAATATCTGTAAAAGACTTAGGCTATGTCTACAGTACCACTTATGTATAAAGCCAGCCCAGAGCGACATAAGTTATACTGACCTAAGCACTGGTGTGGACAGCACTATGCTGATGGGAGAGCTTCTCCCATCAATATAGCACACCTGCTGTAAGCTCTCTAGTTTAGCCATAGCTTTAGAAGATGAAAAGGCCTACAGTTCATAAGGAGTACTTGTGGCACCTTAGAGACTAACCAATTTATTTGAGTATAAGCTTTCGTGAGCTACAGCTCACTTCATCGGATGCATCCAATGAAGTGAGCTGTAGCTCACGAAAGCTGATGCTCACATAAATTGGTTAGTCTCTAAGGTGCCACAAGTACTCCTTTTCTTTTTGCGAATACAGACTAACACGGCTGTTACTCTGAATACAGTTCATAAATGAGTATTATTTATATCTGTGCCTATACATCCCTTAATTAGGATGTGTGTATTCAGGATGGCTGTTCATTTGGGGATCCTTCCTAGCAGTTAATTGGCCTAATAATGGATAGCAACACCTGCTGCTTAATCAGGAGAGTATTAACAAAAATTCTGCTTAATGAGCTTAACCAGTGCTTTAGGTGTTAACCCAATCTTACCTTTTCACATCTAGTTATGGAAACATTGCCTGTTACATATTTTAAAAAATGCATTAAGTAACATTTGAGTCTGGTATTTTAATTGATTAGTGAGCTTATTCACTTCTCAGGTTAAGCCTGAGCCTCTCAGAATAATTCTACTCTGCTTTGTTAACATGGATGTCTACTCAGCTGTGGAAATCTGCTTGTTAAGGGTTAACATTTAAACATAGCACCACTACAGACTGTGATTCAGTTCTAGAAATTGACTTTATCCTTGTCAATTTTGGGTAGTCTTCCTTAACTATCAATTTCCGTATTTTTGGGACATAACCTGAAAATGATTTTAAATTAAGATTAGTCAGAAAAAGAAATATGTAAATTATTTGGTTTCACATTTTTCAGTTACTTCGCATTACTTTTAAAAAATCAAAAGCTAACTTTTTCTGATTGTCAACTCAGCAAGCTCAACCTTTGATCAGTAAAATGAAACTTTTTTTTCTGCTTCTAACATAATCACCACTTTAAGACAAAAAGTTGTGCAGTCAGAATTTATGGCCTGATTTTTTCCTAAATGCCAAATACCCACACATCCTTCTGAAGCAAATGAGAGTTGTGGGTGATTTACACCTTCGAAAATCAAGCTGTTAGCCTTTTCCCCAAAATTGTCAGTTAACACCTGACTAGAATTCAGCTCCCTCTTCCTTGGTCGTATTGGCTCTGCATTCTGAATCAAGTAAATAGTTACACCTCAAAGAGGTACAGACCTTGTCTGTACTAAGTATTCTTCTTCTTGTTAAAAGCTCCCATGATTGTTTTAGTGTTGATGCAGCTCTGACATTGCTGGCCACAGTGATAGCATTAGCATAGACCAGTTTTTTTTCCTCACCCGCACCCCCTTGTCATTTAGTAACCTAACCCTGCTGAGTTTTATATTAAAATAAACCCTTCTGAAAACTGGATCTATACTGATGGAACTCTTTTTAGTGGCAAATTACACACAGATTTTTTTTTTTTTTTAAACAAAGCCACAGAGCGAGAACCTGTTAGGAATATGCTACTTTTGTTATTAATTTAGTTATTAAACACAATTTAATGAATTCGTACAGAATGCACTCAAGTCTGGGAGGCTTTTCCAAATTCGGTGACATGGCCAAGACTCATGAAATGAACTTTTAGTCACAAACCTCTAGATGGCAGGAGCATAATTTCTTTTGGGCTAATTACACATTTGCTTGACTCTGCTTGTAATTCTTTGTCTCTTGGGTTTTATATTTTTGGACTGGTTTGTGGGGCTTGTTTGCTTTTTATTATGTTAACTTCAGGACCATAGATGTGACATAGGAAGTATCGGTTTTGTGGGTTATGTTCAGACTTTTTTTTTTTTTTAATAATCTGAGAAAAGGCAGCAGATGATGTGCAGAGGAAGTGACATGCCCTAAAATATTTCTACAATGCAAATAACCATCCCTTTTCCCCACCCTCCAGCTAGCCCATACCAGCTGACTCTGGCTCCCCAGGTTTGGGATGCAGGGCTGTTTCGTTGTAGTGTAGACTGCCAAGCCTGCACTCAAGCCCAAGCCTGGAAGTCTATATGGCAGTGAAACAGCCCCTTAGCCTGAGATCTGTCAGGTGAAGTCAACTGGCATGGGCTGGCCGCATGTGTCTAATTGCAATGTAGACATACCCTAAAATAGACTTTACTAATTTGCATTAATGACTGGTAATCCACTGCTGATTGAATGTTCTTGTGGTAAATAAAAATAAAATATCACAATGCATGTTGCTAATATATTTGGACAAGCATTTTATTTTTGACAGTAGGTTATAATGTAGTATGTTATGTAGAAACAGGGAAGTCTTAGGAAGAGAGACTTCACTGTAGGGTTCTATAAATATGTAAAACTAAATCTTTGCTTGGAAGTGGGGTTTAACCATCAAGGATTACTTGCTGAGAATTATGGGTTTGTGGATTGGAGCAGCGAGGAGAAAGAGATGTTTTTCTGTAGCTAAATGACTTTTTAATATAAAGTTGGGAGTAATAGTAAAGGCCACTGCCAAAGCTGGTAGAAACTAAGGATTTGGGGCCTGATCCTGATAGGCACTTTGCCCCTGCGGTTTTCTTCAGGACTTTTTCAACAGCTTTGTTGTGTGGTGACTAGTCTTCAATCCTTATTTACCCTCTTTTGGTTTCTCTTACTCTTCCATACCTGCTCTCTTTTAATTCTCTAGAACAGGGGTCTCCTATGCCTACCTCCCAGTGCTTCCTACCGCCAAACAGCTGTTTGGTGGTGCTTAGGACTTTCCAGGAGGGAAAGTCATACCCAGGCTGAGGCAGGAGGGAGGGGGGAGGAGCAGGGACATGGTGCACTCAGGGGAGGAGGTGAAGAACAGGCGGGGCCGGGCGGGGATTTGGGGAAGGGGTTGAAATAGGGGCAGGGAGGGGGCGGAGTTGGGGCAGGGACTTTGGGGAAGGGGTTGGAATGGGGGCGGGGAAGGAGCAGAGAGGTAAAATATGAATTAATGGATCCTTGCAGTACAGCTACATTTTGCATTTCTTCAGCAGTAATTTAGTGGGGGACGTAAAGAATACAATCTGCACTGATGTCTTTGAGCTACTCATTGTGGGAGGAGATTCTTGGGGCAGCGGTATGAAGGAGGTAAATTGACTCGTTGTGAATGATGTTAGTTACTTTAAATCTGTCTGTTCTGTGGAACAGGACAGGAGCTTTTTTCTTTATGTATGACTCAATTATTTTCTTCCCCCATGTCAGTGAGGTTCCCTCATTCTGTCTCTTCCCACTGTCCCCGTCACTTTCTTTTCAAATCCTGTGGTCTGATTCTCAGGGCCATTTCCAATGAGAGAGAGAGAAGGAGAGCGTGTGCGAGCGCTAAACAGGAACACTGCAAACAGCTGGGCACATCATTGGCTGGTGTAAATTGTCAGAGTTCAGTGGAAGTCAGTGGAGCTATGGCAATTTACATCAGCTGAGGATCTGCCCCAGCATTTCTATTCTGTAGGGCTATTATAACATATCTAAGGTTTCAGTGATGTGGCCCTGAGACCAATGTACTGGTGATTTGAGTTTGAGATCCCTGTTCTAGAATTATATCTATGGGCCAGATTCTCCACTGTCTTGCTTCTTTGTAATCGCTTACACCTGTGCAAACTGAGAGTGGATAAGTTTAATTTGGAAGCATATTATACTTGCAGCGTTACCAATTCTTGTGGGTTTTTTTTTTTTCCATGAGCTTTGTGACTGCGGTTCCCAGGTTTGCCGGTCCCACTTGGTCACAGGGTGTGGTTGGGCCCCCTCCCTGTGCAGCACTTGCCACAGCTGTCAAACTGCACCCCTCAGGGAGAGGCAGGAGCAACAGCTGGGAGTTGCAGGGAGGGGCTGCTGCTTTCTGGGAGAGGAGACTGAGAGTAAAAGGGGAGGGTCTTGCAGGGGGAGGTGACTAGGGTTACTAGGTCCAGGTTTTCCCAGACATTGCCTATTTTTTGATCCTCCATGCTCTGTCCGGGCAGATTTTTCTAATACGAGACAATGTCCAGGTTTCTTGCAGAGCAGATGTTGCAGCTCAGAAAGAGTCCTGATTGATCTGCTTTGTGATTGGTCTCTCCCGTGCATTTACATTTGATTGGTCCCTTGCAGCTGCCAGATCCTGCCCACCCATGCCCTGGCTCCCAGACCTGGGCAGGAGGAGATCCCTGCAGGGAGGCGCTGACTGACAGGCTTGCACTATGTTCTGGGTCTGCACCAGCCTCCATGCCACTGTGACAGGGCGACACTGCCCCTCCATCTCAAGATTGAAGCCCCAGGTACCCACTCCAGCACCCCTCAAATCCCTCCTCCCAGTACACACACCCTTCCAGCACCCCGTCCAACTCTCCCCTCACCCAGGCAGTGTCCTCTATTTGGAAACTGGAAATATGGAAACCCTATGGGGGTAGGGTGAAAAAATGGGAATAAACTAAAAGATTGGAAGGGTAGATTGCACATGTGACATACCCAGGCTGAGGCACCCAACAAAAGCATAACTGAGAAACCAGAACTGGGTTGTCTTAGGGGTTTCTTTAATTCTCTACTCCTGGATAAATCTTTTTTGTTATCTGTATTGTTACAGACATACTTGCTGACAGGTATTTTGAAATAAATTACAAATATTATTGAAACTGGTATGGTACTGTATTGTTTTGATAAATAACATATGCAGAATTTTAAAATGTGCTCAGAATTTTTAATTTTTTGGGGGGTGCAGAATTCCATCAGGAGTAAACTTGTCTGCTAGGACATGAATTGAGAATATCTTGTTTACTCAAGAGTAGCTAATGTCTTCACAGCCATAAAAACAACATTTGATTTTTGGCAGGTAATTGAAGGAGGAAGAGCTTTAGGAATGTTTTTGTTGTGAAATATAAACTTGTGCTATTAGCTTTTTAAAAACATTCTATTAAAAAAAAATACTTCAGCCCGGGTAAGTTTAATGGAAGGCTCTACCCAATGCAGTTCCACTGCAGAGGGCTGGGGCGGATGCAGAGATTCTGCAGACAGGATCCATAGCCCTACAGGCTGCAGAATGCTGCTTCAGAGGTCCTTCATCTGTTCTTGGATGGAGAGAGGTTTTGAGTTGGAGAGGAAAGGGGCTGGCTTGTAGGCAGTAGATCTAATGGCATATGGGGAATTCCCCCCATGTTGGGGGACCTCAGCCATGAAGAGTACTGCTTAGTGGATGTGAAATGGATCTGTTGCCTCTCTGTAACTTGGCTCAAGTATTCCATCTCCCTCCTTGTCACCTGAACCTTTTGTGCAAAGCCTTCTGTTCGTGTTTTCCAGAGGCGACAGAACTGTTCCTTGTATAATTTAAACTTTCATTTATTCTCAGGAGCTTTACATATGTGAGCATATGTCAGAATTGACTGTTGCTATACCTTCTTTTGTGTGTATATGTAGGTATATATTTTACCTTCCTCAGCTTGGTAACAAGAATGTGAACATTTTTAGTGTTAAATCAGTAGCTGACTATGTAGGTTTTTTACATGGAATATGACTTTTTAGTAAAAGGGGGGGAAAACCCCTGTAATTTTCTAAATGGAAATCTCTGTGTGTTGTATTGCATTTTTAGCACATTTTCTAAGACCTTCCCACTGTGCCTTGTTAAAGGAATATGCTGGCAGAGCTTGATAGCTCCTGACGTAATGGATATTGTAGACAAGTCTTATCAAGACTCAGTCTATTTGTTATACATATAATGAGTTCACATGGGATTTGTATTTCATTATAGCTACCTTAGGAAACGTTCTTCCAAGAGACAAATAACTGCCTGGTTTACCAGACTTGTGAGAAACAAGACATTATTTGTTGTTTTTTAATTACACCGGACCCTCGCTAGAACATGTCTATATAACGCTAATTCGGATATAATGCAGTCACGGAGATGGATCCCAAATTTAAGTACAGTACAATTTTTTTTGAGTATAGACACAATAAATCAACTGCTGAGCGCTCTCCTGTCGACTCTAGTACGCCACCAGAATGAGGCGCACAAGCGCAGTCGACAGGAGAGCATCAGCTATTCATGCACCATCAGCTATGTGATCTTAGATCAACCCCACGCGGTAGTGTAGACAAGCCCTAAGACGATTGCTGTAGGCCTAGAACGCCATACAAATGTCATGTAATAAAACTTTACAGGTACAGTACTGTATTTATCTTTAGAAAGATGTCAAAAATGTCGGGCAAAAGGAAGGCTTACTCGGTGCAGGAGAAATTGGACGCTATCGAACGACTTAAAAATGGCAAAACCCAGGCAAAGATTAGCTGCTATATTGGCATGAACGAGTCCACCTCCGTCGATGGCTAAAGAATGCTGACAAGCTCGGAACTTACATTCATAACCTGGATGAAGAGCATGGCCTTCAAAGAAAACGAGCCTGCTTAGCGAATGATGCCCATCTTGAATCTGCAGTGTACACATGGGGTTTGTGCAAAAACAGTAGAAAGGCATTCCTATCTCTGGTCTGCTTATAGCCATGCAAGCAGAAAAATTCGACCGGGAACTTAATGGCGAATTCAGCAATTTTAAGGCGAGTTCGGGTTGGCTATGGTGATTTCAGAAAAGACATGGAAAACTCTGCTGACGCCGCCACACAATCGTGCCCTGCAAAGCTGAGGGAAATTTTACAGGTGGAGGGTTACTCAGAGGAACAGATTTACAATGCAGACGAAACAAGAATTTATTATAAAATGTTGCCCGATAAAACCCTGGCTGTCAGAACAGATGAACATAAGAAAGAAGGATATAAACAGTCAAAAGATCGCCTTACTTTATTGTTTGTGTGAATGCAACAGGCAAGCATAAACTAAAACCATTGTGCATTGGAAAGTCTTGCGTGCCTCAGCGCTTTCATCACGTAGATGTGAATTGCCTGCAGTTTTCGTACAAGAACTCCAAAAATTCCTGGATGACCAGAGATTTTTGAACAATGGTTCTTCACCAGATTTATCCCGTCTGTGCAAAAGCATTTGTGGGCAAAACGCTTAGAAGAAAAGGCCATTCTTTTGTGAGACAACTGTCCAGTGCATCCTCCAGCCGAAAGACTCAGAACCCGTGACAGTACAATATGGGTTGAATACTTCCCTAAAAACATGACTTCCAAAATCCAGCTGCTTGATCAAGATGTTATCGCCATTTTTAAGCAGCATGATCAACGGAACTTGGTACGACAAATGATAGAAAGTGAGTTGTCTGTCACCGATTTTCTGAAGAAGTTGACTATAAAAGACTTCTTTTACACCGGCGGCAATTCCTGGAATTTATTACTTGCTGAAACGATAAACTGCTGTTGGATGGTGGGACTGAAGGAGTCGTTTGGCCACCCGCTCCTGGAAGAGAGTGAAGAAAGCAGATCACAGTCTGACGAGGAATTTGACTTTGAGGGATTTACAGAGGAGGAAGTTGGAAGAACAGACATGGAGTGGATGCAGGAGCTGTGCCAGCAACTGTCCGGGCTCGAGCTAACTGTTCTGCCACTAAATATCGAGTCCTGGATAAGAGGTGATGATGAAGCAGAAGAATTTTGACCCATTGCTGAAAGTCTAACAAATGACCAAATTCTTCAGGCAGTATGACCAAACAACATTCCAGAAGCTGAAGAATTGGCCTTCGCCGTAGAAAAAGAAGAGGAAATGGACGTCATTCCAACGTCAGCTGTGACCGTAGCCTGCTTAGAGACTGGTTTGAGACGCAAGCCATTGAGCCTATAAAAATTATGCAGCTATGTAGTCTTTTGCAGTTTGCTAAGTGGAAGCAGCACAGCAGCAAGAAGCAAAAGCAATTCACCGACTTTTTAAAGAAAAACTAGACTAATTTATTGTAATGTCTACTTTAAATCTCTAGTAAAGCAACCCTTTTTTTTTTTCTTGTTTCCTTCAAGTAGGAGTTTATTTTTTAAGGTTTTCTATACTTTATGGATGTGACATTTACTGTATACAGTAACTTCATTTTAACGCGGTCCCTGCTATAACACAGTACTTGGCATGGATCCCAAATCCCGCTTTCTAGCGAGGGTCCTGGTGTACCTTTTGTACTGTAGAACACAAATCCAGAAATGAGAGAAAAGGAAAGTTGAGAATTCATTTTCATGGTTTTTCTCCCATCTCTCTCTCTCTCTCTCTCGTGCTTCCCACACATTTTGTGCTACCTTTTAATAATAAGATTTTTAAGCAAGGGTGTGGTTTCATGTTTCTTGGGGTAAAATGGATTTTCCAGTGTTTTAGCATGATGAAAGACACTCCTATCCTCTACTGGTTGTGAAAGAAAACCAGTTTATCATTCAGCCTTAAGCTTTGATGTTCTCATTAGATTAGTCAGGAGAGAACTAGTGTGGCCTCACAGGGCTTGTCTGTTTGGTAAACATCAACTGCTGCAGCTAAATCATTATAAAAATCCATCTGGTTACACCGGGGGTAACCCCCTAGTGTAGACACACTGAATCTGCTTTAAATTGTGCTTAAGCTCAATGCAATAAGTCCCCTTAAGTGCAATTTAAAACGGTTTTCCATTGTGTCAGTGTTAGGGACTTGCACTGGTATAAAAACATAAATTTTTATATTCAATTAGTTACATCAGCACAAGTTTTCTAATATAAACAAGGTCACAGTTAAAGCAGAGGAAAAGGACTCAGGATTTCCTGGGTTTTGTTCCCAGACGTGCCAATGGTTTCCTTTGTGACCTTTGGCAAGTCACTTGAATTTACAGAGTTGCTACCTCAACTTCTTTAGAAATAAGTTCAGGTGCTCAGCACCCTGTTGAAAACAAGTGCTCTATTTGAGTGCTTTAGTTTATCTGTCTGTAAAATGGGAATATGTACTTATCTGCTTTGTGTGGATTTTGTGAGGTTTAGTGTTTGTAAAATATTTCATATCCTTAAATGAAAGGTGTTATAGAAGTAAGGATTTCAGAGAAGTTTTGAATTTGAAACATTGTCTCTATAGTATAAGGTGTGGAAAGAATATTTATTATACAGATGTGCGGGACACTGAGTAAATGGTATGCCCAGGGCTCCTCAAAATATTTGTTTTGGAGCTGGTATTTCAACTTTCTTGGTCTCCCAAACCAGCATCTAGTCCACTATACCATACTCCTTTCTTTGTAATTCAGTTTGAAATAGTTTTGTCTTATTTTTCAATACAGATTTTGTTTCTCTGCAGTTTGTTGTAGCTGAAGAAAAATGATGGAAGAGAGTGGAATAGAGACAACCCCACCTGGCACTCCCCCGCCAAGCACATCAGGGGCAGTAGCTGCTGGTATCACCATTGCCGCCACCATCACCACACCTGTCTCATTAGGTATAAGAAGCTTCCAAGCATCTGGGTTTTGCTTGTTCGTGTGTTTGAAGCATAGCAATTAGTCCAAGTGAAAGCAATATTATAATGTGTATAATTGCAGTGCACTTCTCCAGACTAAATTGAAGAACTTAATTTCTTCCTTAATCCCAGTTGTGTGCTCCTTTAATGATTTTCTACATCTTTTAAGAATATGGCTTTTTAAATTTACACTTCTATAAGAAATTATGTGGGTGTATGTCTAGGATTTTTATGGACGAGTGGGCGCAGAAAATAGAGGCTTTGACTGCTGTGTAGGGAATAATAATAGAGTTGGCTAGTACTGTAGATAATCTGAAGATTTTGCAGGATCATGTAGGGAAATTACCTGCTCGCTTGGCCTGATTTTCTAGTGTTTGCACCATTTTCTGTAGACTATATTTCCCCCTTTTTGGTGAATATGCAGTTACAATTGTGCAGCCTCAGAGTAACATCTGACCCTCCAGTCGATACTTAGAATCTGTTTACTTTCCAGTAGTTGTATTGCCTCTGAATTACTAAAAGGCATAAAATGTAATGAGTTATTTTTGTTACGATTTTGAAGTCGCACCAAAGTTGGAGTGTTAACTGAGTAGTGACTCCAAAGGAAGATTGTCACCTATTGAACTGGCAGCACGTGAGGCCACTTTTTGAAGTCTCCATTCAAATACTGACCCATCCTGCTGCTGTCTAGCTTGACATCTGATGGGGTCACAGTAGAAGATGGGGCATTACTTACTTTTTGGTGACAGTTTACTTGTAACTGGAATCATTACTACATACAACTTATTTTTTGCGGAAAAGCTTTAGGTATCTTATTCAGATATTTTTGTAAAGAATTTTAAAGCTATTATAATTTCTTATTAAAGTGCCTTTTCTTTTTTCCATTTTTCCTCTCCTAGCTTTGTCCAGTTCTCTCACTGCTCCAGACATATCCCCTCTCCCATTTTTCCCTCCTCAATCATTCTCCACACCTCTACCACCCTCAGTATCTTCACTTCCTCCTATGAGGTCGTCAGCGCCTTTGCCATTTGTGCCTTCTGCAACAGTTTCAACTATTGCACCCCCTTTAACTCCTGCCCCACCTCCTATTACCCCTCCAACTGCTTCAGCTTTTAGCGGCACCATGTCCCATTTCTCAACACCTCCTCCTCCAAGCTGTATTCCTGGCCCTAACCTTTCTGTACCTCCCACGGCACCCCCCATTTCAGGATTTTCCATTGCTTCATCCTATGACATTACCAGAGGTCATGCTGGGCGAGCACCACAGACCCCGCTGATGCCATCATTTTCTGCACCTTCAGTCACAGGTAGTATTTTGTTCCGTCTTGTAAGATGGGGGCAAGTTCTCATTAGTGGCCTTATGTGTAACATAAGGGGTAGTAGGGTGTCAGCATTTTTCTTTTCAACCTGCGTCCCTGTAGAGAAATGCTGGCTGACTTCTGTATTATGCCAGGTACATCTAACTCATTCTGAGTATAAAGAGGTGGGAGTGCCTCTTTGGGGAGAAGTAGTCATGGTCTAGGACAGAAGTGTCACTTCAGGGAAACCCTAGGAACAGACAAGTTTGGGGGGAAAAAAAAAATAACTAAAACAAAAAGTTACTCTGGCTAACCCGTGTAGCCAAACTCCACTGTACATAAGCGGGCTCTGTTCAGAACAGCGTAGAAACTTCACTTGCTGTACAATAATACTATAGTATAACATTTTGAATCCATAAATTATACTCTAATGCAGTAGTTCCTAAACCTGCTGGTAATATATAGGGAACTGGCTGGTCATGTGGTGCTGGCTTCTGCTTTCTTATTTCCAGCCTCTATATTGCTTTAGCAGATTAATTGTGGTAAGATACATGAATGTTTGTGTGTGGCTTGTTTTTGCTTATCAGGTGTCTTGACAAATCCTGTTACTCAACAAACAACTTTTCCATCCTCTCTGGTGCCTGGAACTGGAAGTGGCCCTGCAATAACTTTCCCAGAGGAGAATGAAGACCCCAGAGTTGCTGGCATACAGAATGAAGCATCTGCTGGAGGCCTCTGGGGATTTATAAAAGTAATTGTTTTATTCTTTTACCATTTGTGGATTAAGTCTTTTAACAGACTAAAATGTACCGTAAGTTCTTCAAGTATGTGCTGGTGTGGATCCCATTGTAGGTGCACATGAGCTTCATGCATATGAGACCAGAAGGCATTAAGGGCAGGAAGGCTGCATCCCTCCCTCAGTTCCTTCTTGCTGCCTGTGACAACAAGATAGAGCCTGGCATTTGTCTGACCCACTAGTTGATAACTCAGGCTAAACTTCGAAAACTTACAAAGTCTTCAGCACTACAACTTATTTTTTATGTTCAACTACCACGAAGTAATCTAACCAATATAGGCTGAACTTTACTAGTTAGACACCCCTGTAGAGAGCTTCTTAACATGACAGATTTGAAACCTGCAGGCTTTAAGCACTGTCTGTCCTGCGATGGACTAATTTTGTATTTGTCTTCTGCTTGGGGAATGGCATATTCTGAGCAGATACTTGGTTTGCTTGTCCTCTGTTATAATGCACAGTTGCAAGGCCTGAAATTCCATCTTCTGGAACAGTCCATAAAGTTCTCATCAGATCTTAAGGAAACAAGCTCCAGAATCCCACTGGTGAACAAGTCCGCATCCTACATTGGCTCTGTCAAGCCAGACAGGTGACACCTGAGACAAGTGCCGAGAAGACAGATGGAAAGATCTGGTACAGGCATTCCTGGCACTGAAGCTGCCCTCAACATAAATTTTGAAGCTAGCACCAAAACCTCAGGTGTTGAAGTCAAGTACTGAGAAGGATTGCTCCAAATACAGAGGAAGACTCTCAGGAAGAAACTCACTGTCATCCCACAAGGACTGACTGCTGCAAAGCATTCACAGAGAAGTCCAAGTCCTGTACAGACTCAAGAACTGAGAAAGGGCAGGCTACTATGCAGCAGATTCTGCTGGTCCTAGTCCTGGCTCCAATAACACATCCCTCATTGTTAACCCTGGCCTTGGGGGATGAGACTAGGGCAGAACTAGATCCATCACTGGTGCTGAGACACTGGCACTGGTACAGACTCTGGTACTGTGAGCACCTTACATGTTGGTGCTTCCCCAGAAGAGGTTTACTGCTTTTCACTGTCACTGGGCATGTTTTTTCATCATTGAGTAGAGAACTCTCCCCTGTGGTCTGCAATCAATGCTATTGGGAGACCTATGGGCTTCTCTTATCGATCTCAAACACCACTGGCCCATCAAGACTGGCATTAGACTGACCAACATCCAACTAAGTCAGCTATACTCCTGTGCTATAGTAGTAGTAGTTAGTACCACAGGCATTGAGAAGCCAATTTCTATAACCAAAGAAAAGAAAGAGTTCTTTCTTGCTAGCAGTATGTATGGCCAGACCCCAAATGCCTGAATACCAGAAATAACCAGATTTAGGGTCAGAGCAACATCAATACCCTAACTTATTGCTAAAGAATCTCTTATCTTTGTTGCTAGATGAACTGTATCCTTGATATCCGTACTGGCACCAGATGACTTCAGGGTGTTCCAGTCTGAGTAGTCCTCAGATCAGAGAAATCTCACAAGCTGTTTGAAAACCTTTCAGCTTTTGGTCTTGTCATGATCACCCTCCCCATGACTGCTTGACCTCACTAAAGCTCTGTCAGACTCCATCCACAGTAATGCCAATGGCAAAACCAGCTGAGAAGAAGTACCAGGTGCCCCCCACAGGATTTGAGGACCTTTGCGCTCTCCTCAACCTGGGCTCCTTAATTATGTGACTTGTACAAGAGAGGTAGAAACTGAGTTAAAGCTCATCTAAGGACGAAGACCCTAAATGACTCAATTTATCTGAGAGGAAGTCATGCTGTTCAGCTTAGCCTCACACAGCTAGAGTGAACAGCCAGCCCTTTCTGCCAGATTATGATACTTACAAGAAAGGGTGTCGCCCTGTTCACCGTGAAATTCCCTTGTGACAGCAGAGGGTCTTCAGGACATATTTAGAAACGCCAGCACCAATGGTGTCCAAGACTGTGTTGTAGGCAGCAGTGGGTGCTTTAGACATTGCAGATCGGTCTATGTCCACTGTAGTGGCCATGCACAGAGCACTGCGGTTCTAGGCATTGGGCATCCTGAGGAAAGTGCATGCCATGATTGAGGATTTATCCTTTAATGGCTCAGGGCTGTTCAGCATGCAGACAGGCAGTCCTGTGCACTGACTGAAGGACTTGAAAGCTACCCTGCACTCTCTGGGGGGCTTACGCCTCTGCTCCATGTCACAAGATGTACCATTCACAGTGCATGCCATCCTACCATCCCACACAGATGGAATATCATGACAGAATATGGTGTGATAGCCTCCTCTTCCTAAGCAATGCACCCCACTCCTGTGATGTATTAGCAGATTTGACAAAGCTGTTGAGAGCCACGTTAGACCTAGACTAGAGAGTACGATCTTTAGAGTCGCATTACCTCTTTCTACTACGTATTATCTGTCATGACATCAAATGGTCCTTGGCTACCCCTTCCCTGACTCTGTAGCAGGGTCTTGTGAGAAAAGTCTCAAAATATAAGTGGCCTCATTTCTTTGTCTAGGAACCATAGAGTAGGTCCCAATAGAGTTTGGGGGAAAAGGCTTCTACTCCCGGTGTTTCCTCATTCTGAAGATAGGAGGTCTTTGTTCTATCCAAAACCTGAGGAGACTCAACAAATACATATTTCTCCTCAGGTTCAGGATGATAACACTAACCTCCATCATTCTATCTTTTCGAGCTTAGGAATAATTCGTAGCATATAGGATGCATCCTTCCACTTTGCCATCCATCCAACCTGCAGGAAGTATCTAAGATTAACAGTGGGGCCCATTCATTATCAATACAGGGTTGTAGCCATTGGACTCCTATTGCACCGAGAATATTTACAAAATGCTTGGTAGTATGAGTAGTACACTTAAAATGACAGAGAATTCATGTTTGCCCATACCTGAATAACTGACTGATCTGGGCAGTTCTCAACAGGATACTGCAACAGCCTTATGTGGTGTTTCCCCATTGTCTCAAGTAGGTCTGTGTAAACTACTAGAAATCATGCCTCGCACCATTGCAGACTATAGACTTCGTAAGAGCTTTAATAGACTCTAGATCCACTTCTAGTACCAGGCACCAGAGAGGACAAGTTTCAGTCACTTCAGCCAGAGGTTTATGATCTACAGCCTAGTCTGATGATGATCATAGTGCATATGTGTCTGGGGCTACAACATCACATGTTAGTGTGAACATATGACGCCACTTGCCATATTTAATTTACAGACCTTGCAACTGTGGCTGAGGTCCATATACCTCCGGTCCAGACATCACACGCACAAAGGGCTCACATTCCTGCCTCAAGTCCTATGGCAGCTTGCTTCATGGCTAGATCCAATAAATGTGAGAAAAGGGATGCCCTTCTGTCCCCTCTCTGACTACTCTTATCACAGACTCCTTGGAGGCGCCTACCTGGAATATCTGCAAATACAAGACACGTGGTCTTGGGAACTACACATGAACATCCTGGAACTGAAGGCCATCAGATTGGCCAACACAGTGTTCCTGCTTGTTCTGTGGAACTCCGTGGTGCAAATCCTGATTGACAACACATCTGCAATGTACTCTAAACAAGCAAAGACGTACACTATCATCCCCTCTTTGCCATGAAGCCATCAGGTTCTGGATATGGTGGTGTTGTCACCATGGTAATCCCAGTGGCTCAACACTTTCAATGGGTCAGCAGCCTAGTAGACTACTTGAGCAGACATATAGTGACCAGAATTGAGTGGCCACTGGAGAAATCCATCCTAGACACAATATTCAGTCAGTGGTGGGGGGACTCCTGTCATAGACTCATTTGTCACAGAGGACAAAACTAAATGTCTGCATTTCTGCTTCAGAAGAGGTGATGGTCTCAAGGACTCCTATACACTTTCCCATAACTTTTTTCTGATTCCCAGGATAATATCCAAGATCAAACAGGACAAGGCCGGGATTATCGTAATAACCCTGTACTGGTCAGGACTTTTTCGGCTCTTGAATGTCCCATACGCCTGCCACTGTGCCTGGACAGAACTTCAGAACCGAGATCCGATAATTCACTCAAACCTGCAGTTGTTGCACCTGACTGCTTTGTTGTTGGCTGGTTGAGCACTGACGTTGCCCCCAACAAGTTCAAGAAATTTTATATAAAACACAAAACCTTCCACTAGGAAAACTTATCCTTGAAATGAAAAAAGATTCTCTATATGGGCAACTCAGAATAATGTTGACTTAGTGGCGGCCCCAATACTGAAAAGATCCTGGACTATATGCTGCTCCCAAAATACACAAGGATACCCTTAAGGTTCACATTGCTATGGTATTTGCATGTCACACTCTGGCAGTCAGACTGTCTTCTAACACCCTATGACATCAATATTTTTCAAGGGCTTTCTTCGTACTTTGCCTCCAGTCGGAGACCTGATTCCCACTTGGGATCTGTGTCCTCTTCCTACAGCTTTTATGGAGCACTGTCAGAATGCTCAGAACACCCCCTTACCAGCAAGACTGTCTTTCTCTTGGCCATTACCTCAGCATGGAGTGTCAGTGAACTCCAAGGTCTTATGGCCAGACTGCCTTATATATGCTTCCATAGGGACAGGCTGGTGCTGAAACCACACCCCAAGTTCATCCCTAAAGTGGTCTCAGATTCCACCTAAACAAATCTGTTTACCTGTCTTCTTCCTGAAGCTTCGTTCAATGTTGGGAGAAGAACTGCCTACTCTGGATGTCTCCAGAGCTTTGCTCTGTTACCTCAGGCTGTTGTGTCACCTCTTTGTAGTTCTATTTGGTGCAGCAAAAGGCCAAGCTAGAACGCAGCAGAGAATTTCTAAGTGGATCACACTGAGTATTTCCAGATGCTATCAAATGGCTGGGGATCCTCTCCCTCCGAATGCCAAGGCATGCACCATCAAGGCACAAATAGCATCTTCTGCCTGCTTCAGGAACATGCCTCTCGGAGATTTACACGGTGGCTATATGGAGTAACTCACTAATTTGTGTTAAACTGCCATCAGGTTATTTCCTGGTGAGCTAGGATGACCTGACTACCACAAATAGTGGGGAAGAAGCTGAAGACTCTAGCATTACTTCACAGAGGTGTACTGGTATTTGTTACAGAATTTGGACTAAAAGTAAATCAATAAGTTTCTGCTCTGTGTTTCAAGAGCAATTAAACTCCCCCCCCCCCCTTTGGGAAGTCTTTAAAGGAAGCAGGTCCAGCCCATGCCTGCTGTTCCTGATTTTGATACTTTTCCTTTCCGAAGGTCTGTCATGTTCCAGAATCTCTTGGGCTCCATTTTAGCCTTCCTGGGTTACTTTTCAACCTCCTGACTCCCAGCTTTCACTAGGCAATCCTTCTGGAAGCAACAGAACACCCTTCCTGGAATTGACTATTCTCTACTGGAGTGAGCTGGGCTCCCTTCTGCTCTTAGCAGTTTCTGTGAAGATTAGTGATTGATTAGCATAGGCTCAACCACAATTCTAGTTCTGACTTCCTGGGGTAGTCCACTACATACAGCTGCTTCTCCAGAGACTTGGATTTCTTGTTTTTGTACCCAGTAACAGTTGACTGTGGCACACAAACATTATGCACTTGACATGGCAGCAAAGCCAGATGTCAAATTTTGGGAGAGCAACACTTCGCTGTCTGAGTGATTCAGCCAAAACTCCTTTGTCCTACCATCCAGGGAGGATACTGCTTGCCAGTAACCTGCAGCAGGATCTACACTGACACATACTCGAAGAAGAGAGAACAGTCAGTTACCCTATAGTCACTGGTTCTTTGACCTGTTGTAATCAGTGTGGATCTTGCCCTCTGTCCCTCTTTCTGGAGTCCTCAGCAATACAAACTTTGAATTACAAGGAACTGACAGAAGGTCAGAAGGCGACCCTACCCTTTATGCACTCCTTTGGGAGCACAAGGTAATGTGGGGAACGTGTGCATTCCCGACTGACATAACTATTAAAAAAAACTTTCCTCTCTCATGCACACCTGCAATGGAAATGACACGGACTATAACAGCTCAAAGAGCCACGGTTACTGGAGGGTAAGTAACTATTTTATTTGCTGTATCTAATCAGACAGTTATCTCACCAAGCCTTATACCTGTCTCTAGCAATGACCAGTGTGACAGATCATAAAAAAGTGGAAGATGTCTTTCCTCACCCACCTCCCTGATCCCCAAATTAATGCACCTGGTTATTTCTGCAGTGCTGCACAGGGTGGTGGAGAGACAGATTCTATCTTGTGACCTAATGAATGAGAATTGACCGTTGTTGCTAACGTGTAGCAGCCATTGCTATTGTTTATAAATTATGTGGATTTACTTATGTGCTGCATCTGCAACAAAGAAATGAAAAAATCAGTATTTTGTGGAAAGTGCTTAAAAGTATTCCACGTTTCCTCAAAATATTGTAAATATACTGAGCAACATAAACAACAAGTGCTTCATGCTAAGAGAAAATGTGCTGGGCTATAAGATGCCTTTCACTATAGCAAAAATGTAGGTATATAAATGTGAAGAATGGCTTTTAAGTCTGGTTTTATACTTTATTGTGTATTTTTGCGCTTGTGAAATGCTTTTGTCGAACAGTGTTACTGAGCTGACTCTTCATTGGTGCCTTCGCTAAACTAAATAAGTCTGATAAACTGCTCTGGAGTGACACTGGCATTCACTCTGATTTGGAGCAGTATTTGCATTCATATTGAATAAGAATCGAATACAATTTGAATGCAGTAGAAAGCAGTTCCACCTATGATTATTTGGCAGAGGAACACTGGGCACGTTGCCAGTGTTGTCTGGAATCTGTATGGTGAACTATACAAAAATAGATCACATTGGCTTTTCAAGAAGGTAAAAAAAAAAACCCCTCCCTCTTAATGTTTGTTTAAAATTGTTTCAGTCCAGTTACATGGTGTGAAAGCATCTACAGTCAATACCAGGGACCTATGCATAAATACAACCCTAGGACTTCTGGTCTCAGGGTAGTGGTACTAGACAAGCTACAGTAGGTAATGCTCTTGGTCACTGAGAGAGAGGGGTTGTTTAATGTACATCTCAGTAAAGCCTTTCAGTAATGAATTTATGGAGTAGCATTAGTGGCAAGGTCAGAAAAGTGTACCCTAGTTGAAAAAAGTCATACTATGGTAGGTTTCAGAGTAGCAGCTGTGTTAGTCTGTATTTGCAAAAAGAAAAGGTGTACTTGTGGCACCTTAGAGACTAACAAATTTATTTACTATGGTAGTGAGAGCCCAAAATTCTTGTGGTGCAAGAGGAAAATTCATTGATGTGTTTACACACATGTATACATATGCGTTCTCGCTCTCTTTCTTTCTGTTGTATGTGCGTGTGTGCCTCTTAGGCAAGAAAAAAGGTAAAACTCAGTCTCTCTTCAGTGGATAAAAATCATGATTTAAAATAACTTAAATCATATATTTACATGTATGATTCTTTTTACTTTTTATTTTATAGTCTTAAATTGTTATAGTACACCTCTACCCTGATATAACGCGGTCCTTGGGAGCCAAAAAATCTTACCACTCTATAGGTGAAACCGCATTATATTGAACTTGCTTTGGCCTCAAGCATTTCCATTATTAATAGCCGCTTCCAGCCCCCTGACTGATCCCTCAGAACCCCCGACTATCCAACCCTCCACCCCCCCCACTCCCTGTCCCCTGACTGCCCCGACTCCTATCCACACCGCCGTCCCCTGACCGCCCCACCCCCAGAACCTCCAACCCCTGGGCCCCAGCCGCCTTAACACGCTGCTCAGAGCAGTGTGTTGGAGCCTGACACGCTGATCCACCAGAGTGCACAGTCCTGCCCCCCAGAGCACTGCTTTACTGCATTATATCCAAATTTGTGTTATATTGGGTTGCGTTATATTGGGGTAGAGGTGTAGTACTTGTTTCTTAGTTTAATTGTTAAATCTCCTTCCCGCCCCCCCAACTGAGATCTGAAATTCAGTAGGAAAAATTTCACAATTACATTGCTCATCTGTGCTGCAACAAATTCAGAGCTTCATTAATATCCTTAATGCACAACACCACAAACTCCAATACAAAATTGATAAGCAAAAGAGCTTGAGCTGTTTTTGCAACCAACATTACTTTTCAATATATTGAACTTCTACGTTTCAAGAAAGCTTGAAATACTTTGATCACATTGTCCTCTTTCATCGGGATTTGCAGTTTGAAGTCAGTGGGACCTGTGTACCTAAATCACAAAGGTGCTTTAGAAAATGCCAACATTAAGACCCTAAATTCAGGCCTAGAAATCTAAGTTAAGGCTTCTATTTCTGAACTTTGGCCTGTGTATGGTTGGTTGGTTGTTTTTAAGTTCACAATAACTTCAATTGAAAGTTTAAATAACGTTTAATTGTTAAAACTGAGGTAACTTTCATTTTGAAGCGACGATTTCATACCACTAAGATTTTTAATAAAAATGTTAGCCTTTAATTCTGGACGCAATTATGTACATGCTTAGCAAGCACAGGGGTGGTCCCACTGAATTCAATAACCTTTTCGGGATCAGGACCTTAATTTTCAATGTTTAGTTTTTTGCATATAGCATTTGTGTAAAATTCAACTAAGATACACCACCAATAATGGCATTTCAAAAAAGCATTAGTTCTGTGTAAATTTTAATCTAAAATTGCAACGGCACAAATTTTTACATCAGTTTTACAAAGCCTCAAACTGATTTTAAATCACTTCTGTCTGGTTTCTGCCCTGAGATGCATAATGTCAAAAAGGGTGGATTCATCTTCCCTAGATGCCTACTGAGTGTCTTGACTTCTATTTGAATGGAAAATCTGAAGCAACTTCTTGTCCCAGGTTTGTTTTAAGTGTAATATTTCAAGGCTTAAGAAAAGGCCTGAAGGTTTGAGAATAAACTTGATCTACAGTATTTACTTATTTATTTGTTAATTTTGTAGGGTGTAGCTGGAAATCCTATGGTAAAGTCGGTGCTTGATAAAACAAAACACTCAGTAGAGTCCATGATCACCACGCTGGATCCTGGCATGGCTCCATATATCAGTAAGTACTTGAGGCAAACTTCCATAGAGTAGTAAGTGTGAATCATACAAAACTCATAAACATAAAGAGATCTTATAGTCTTCAGATGAATTTTTAGGTACTGTACAGGTTTATAATAAAACTGATCATTTAAAAGCAGTACTGGAGTGTGGTGTACACCAAATTTTGTACGTAAGACAGGTTTTTTGTTTTAATGTTGGGCCATGATTCAAGTTACAACACCGACTTTTAGTGGTGTGGTAGTGATGGAATCGTTGCATTTGGAATGCTGCTATCTTTCTATGCCCCACTTTGCAATCAATTTGTAACTTCCCCAGTTAAACTTGGGGTTGAAATGTCTCTGATTCGGTTCAGCAAGTGTGCCATAATTTCCAAAAATAGGCACTTTTTGGAAAGTTATATTAAAAACCCATTCTGCCATCTTAATTGGATGTTTTGTCAGGATGGTCTTGGGGTAAAGCACTGGACTGAGACTCAGGGGGCCTGGGTTCTAGTCTCAGCTTTGCCACAGACTTTGTGTGATCTTGAGCAAGTCACACAGCTACATCTACGCTATGAGCCCTGCTTGTGTACACAAACTCATGCTAGCTCTTGTCAAGATAGTGTGAGTATAAATAGCAATGTCGCTGTGGGAGCATAGGTGGTGGCAGTGGACACACGGCTGAGCTATGCCGAGTACATATCCACTGGTTTCAGGTGGGTTTGCGCTCAACCGCGTGTCTACCTGCTACTACCTGTGTTACTACATCTGCACTGCTATTTATGCTTGGGATCGCTCCATAAGAGCTGGGGTGCGCATGTTTACACAAGCAGGGGAATCACACCCCTAACTCATAGTGTGGATGTAGCCTTAATCTCTCTGTGCTTTAATTTTCTGCTTGTATGTTCTGTCCCTTTGTCCCTCTCGTTAGACTGTAAGCTCTTCAGTGTAGGGACTGTCTCTTTGTATTACACTGGTGCCTAGAAGTCCTACCTGAGATTGGTGCCCCATTGTGCTAGGTGTGGCATAAACACACAGTAAGAGACAGGCCCTTCACTGAAGAGCTCAGTCTAAATAGACAGGACAGACAAGAATGGGATGGGAAACAGGTGTGTAAAGTGCCTTGATGCAGCTGGTTAGTGGCAGATCTGGGAATAGAACACAAATATACATTGTTATCCATTGGATCACACTGATTATTCCAATGTTGGTTGGACTTCTAATATATAGGTTGCTATGTCTGCACAATATGTTAACTTCAGAAAGATCATTCATGGTGTCTCTAAAAATTTGCAGGTGCAAACTTTGGAAGGTGAGCAGTTATCTGGGCACCTATAGCTACTTCTTCAGTTCTCTGTTTGCTGTAGTCGTCTGCATAGATGCATATGAAAATACAAAAACTGAGGGAAGGGAGAGGGAAGAGCTTGGAATCTTATTTAATAATTCGTAACTGAAAGTCCGTGCCCACCCATGGGTATGGCATTTGGGTCAAGTAATTCACCATCCCTGTAGTCTCCTTCATACAACTAATGAAATTGTTGTATGCAAATTAGCTGTAGAGTAAGAGTGGTGATTTTGTTGAGTTACTTCTGTTGTCACAATGATGTAAGACTTTGCATGTCATAGAATCATAGAATATCAGAGTTGGAAGGGACCTCAGAAGATCATCTAGTCCAACCCCCTGCTCAAAGCAGGGCCAATCCCCAATTTTTGCTCCAATCCCTAAATTGCCCCCCCAAGGATGGATACATGCCTTTATTTTAGCTGTTCAGTGCATGGATGTAATGTGTAAAGTCACAATGGCTGAGAACTTAAATTTGATGGCAGTAAACTCTGAAGCCCAGTGATGATTGAACCTGGTGATGTTCTGAACCAAAAGAGCTCTCAACCTTGCTTGTAGCTGTTTCCATTGCTTCACGCTGGTTAAACAGGCATTCTGGGCTTCAGAGTGACACACAGTGAGCATCCTGGAATCTTAGAATAGAGTGTACAGCAACTTTAAAATACTTTAATTACAGAGTTATTCTTGGCTAAAAGGAAAAAAAAGTAATGTTGTAGTTTAGTGCTAAAACTTGTTGCATGCCTCAAGTGTGTTGAAGTTTGTTTTTGTCCCTTCAGTAATCCAATGAGTATGCTAATGGCTAAGGAATACTCACCCGGCTAGTGACTTATTTCTACTATAAAATGGTGCCTTTGTGGCAGACATTCCAAACCCATGAAGAAAACGCAGAAATTACGCTTGTTTTTGGCTTAATTGGCTTGTGAGTTGCTTGTTGGCTAGTGTTTGGCTTGTTGCTTCTTTTTTTTTCGATCAGCTCTTGGCAAGGGGGGGAAAGCAGAGACAAGAGGGGGAGGGAGTCAGGAGTGCAGAGTGGGCCCACCACAGTCCCAGACTTCATGCCAGGGGGATGTAGTCACATAGAGTGTTGGGTTTCTTAGGGATTGGCTTGTTTTGGCCTTGTTTTGAAATGGGATTAGCTTGATTTTTGGCTTATTGTGAAAGTCGGGGTGCTTATTTACCGCATGAAAGTTGGCAACTGTGCTTTGCGGTAAAGACCATTGGATTTCGTTTTTAACTAAGTTTGAAGGAATTTCGCTAACCACACCCTTCTAGTATGAAAAAAAAATACATAGATAAAAATAAAGATAAAGTTCTCTTGTGTGCCACTTATACTTTTAATAAATGTTTATCTAAATTGCTTATACGAATCTTCCATCCAGTATGCCTCCATTTAAATGTGTTGAGTTTTCATGCACCAATGTCATTGTACAGCCTTTTTCAACTTTCTGTAGTAAAACCTACCTAATGGGGTACTTAAATATCATCCAGCATAGTTCTGATACCAGAAAGTGAGAATCGAAAGTCACTAAAAGGCCACAAAACACAACTTAAGGGTTTGTAGAAGCATGAAGAGGAAATGCTAATACTTGAATGTTTCTCCTCTCCTCCAAAAATACAGCATTTGCATTGCTGCTTGAGAATTGCTGGCAGCAGAATTCAGAGAGAGACTTCATGGTACTCAGCACTTTGGAGGTGTATGGAATATATAATATGTTCCTTATAATGGATTTGAGAACTATTTCACCCCAATTCACCCTGAAAACGTCAGGAACCTAGGTGGAGTGGATGCAAACCTATAGATTCTTTGTCTTTTTGGCTCAAATACGTAAAGATAATAAATATTCAATAGCATTGAGAGCCTCACATTTAAGTGACAAAGGCTTATCTGCTCATTAAGTAGGAGTTATTGTGTGTGTGGTATGAAATCACTTATAAGGCCAACCAGCCGTGCAGAGAGTATTTGGGGGGCAGGGAGCCCCAAAGCTCTAGTAAATGTTGATTACACACAATTCAGGAAATCTAGAGTTAAAGGTTCCCACTCCTCTTTCACAGGATCTGATCATGTCGCTCTAGGCAGTTTTATGTGGTATTTAGCAAACAATACAATATTATCTAATGCAGCAATAAACTTGGAAACTTAAGATTCAGTTAACCAAATGAACTTGCCCACATTGCCTATATCATGTACTAAGTTATATCAAATTCTCTAAAAAACCGCAAATTATGTCAAAGGGGAAGGTTGTTCTTGGAACTTTAACTGTTATGTATGCTGCCATTTTTTGTATTTGAGGAACCCTGTATGTCGCAGGATCAGGACATAAATTCGTAACCTTCCTGTTGTCATGAAAATAGCAAAAGGCTAATCCCTGGTATCAGGGTGATTTCCCCCATTTTTGCAGAACTTCAAATCCCTGCTCCAAATCTGGGGGTGCTAGAGTTGCTCCGTGGAAAGGTTGTAAGAATTTTTTTTAACATGGGCAAAAACAATATATTTTTCCCTTATGTCATTCTTGGAAAGAGCTGAACTGTTTTAACTGACATGTTCTAAAAAGAATTTAGCCTAAGGCAGGCACTTGGCATGGAATATTTTAGTTGGAAGTTTGGCCAAATTGTGATCTGTTCAAAATGGGGTCTTATAATGGAAGACTTTGAGCAAGCTTTACTATTGGTGGCGCTGCCAGCTCTGCTTATCATGTGAAGCATGTGTTACTAGTTTTGCAATCACGTAATGAAAGCCTCTGTTCTAATTTAGAGGAGGAGAGCTAAACTTGACATGCCAACCTTAACTCTGAATTTCCTGACTTGTGGTTAAAACCTCAAATTTAACATAGCTTTTTGCACATAATACCTTTATTTCTATATTGTAGCATTATATAGCATATAAGATGAGTGAACATGTGCTCTCTCACACTCATTACAGAAAAATAATGATCATAAACCCAGGGCCGAGTCCTCCTCTTAATAAAGCTAATGGCAAAACTGCTGTTGAATTCAGTGAGTATAATGTTGGGAATGAATCGCTTTCCTTTCCAAATAGTTACATTTGTGAGTGTGTCCTTGAATCCTGATAGCTTTGGTTTGACAAGCTGCACTATCTAGCTCATGCAGTGCTTGCTACAATAAAGAGTATACCATATATAGAATAGTTTATTGGACTAGAACGCATTAGCACCAACCTCCTGGAAGATTTTTATGCTGTCAGGGCATTCCACTAGGGTTTACTCCTGCACAAGTCCTAGCTGAATCTTCAAATACCTATTAAACTATAGTGCCTGATTCTTTATTCATATCAAGATGTTCTCAGAAGTTTTCTGTCCTACTGTACCTTACAGTTTAATACAATTGTTAATGTTCAGTGATGTATACATAAAATTCCATTGAGCAATAGTTACTTCTTGAATTTTTTGCTTTAAACATAAAAGGTTTGGGTAGAATGTCCTGTTGTCACCATTCCGGCAAACCTTCAGTGACTTCTAATAAAGATCAGAGGGGTAGCCGTGTTAGTCTGAATCTGTAAAAGCAGCAGAGAGTCTGTGGCACCTTATAGACTAACAGATGTACTGGAGCATAAGCTTTCATGGGTGAATAAAGAAGAAGTGGGTATTCACCCACGAAAGCTTATGCTCCAATACGTCTGTTAGTCTATAAGATGCCATAGGACTCTTTGCTGCTTCTAATAAAGAGAAACTGTTCCCTGTAATTGAGGGTTGACAAATCAATATAGGCCAAGGTGAAAACTATTCTTTTTCCAATATTTTTAAGCCTCATGTTGATGTTGATGACATATTGGGGTAAGTACTGCAGACTTCATCAGCACGTTTTCTCGGTGCACTATTTGATGTCTGTAGCATCTGCTTTTTTTGGGGGGGGGATTTCAAAAAGCATTACATTGTGTTGGCCTTTTTTTAAGAGGTTGCTTTAATTTTCTGTTTGTTCCTGTTCTCAGTGGATTCTCAGAAATGGCAGCTTAACAGACTAACAACTTTCCAATCTTCTGTGTTTGTACAAAGTACTCATATTTGATACTTTGCAAGGGAAAATTAACATCCAACCAAACTACTTGAAGTCCAGCATTGTTTGCTTGAAAATACCAACATGTTATATTGACGGGGTTTTTAAGCTGTTCTTAAGAAGTGAAGCATGTTGCAGCAAGGACTTTTGGAAGGTGCTGTGATGGATTAAAGCTTATCCAAGATTGGCTAGTGAAAATAAGAGGAATGTAATATCTAAAATATTCTTAGAAGCAGTTAAAAAACAATTGTGTGGTGGTGGGTGGAGGAGGTGAAAATGTGTCATTTTTAGGCTTCTTTCAAAAATATGAATTGTTTCCTATAAAGTTTTTTTTTTTTTAAATTCTTTCCTTAAAATTTATTTTCTTGATTAAAAATACAACCCACATTTCATAGATGTTAGCTGTCGAAGGAAAACCAACTACAAAGATGCGGAACCATTAGAGCTGCAAACAAGCGGACCCAGTTAAACAATCTATGTTGAAGCTCATGGTTCAAGAATATACTTGGAAAAAACTTACTTTCTTTTGGGCTCTTACAGTCTTATAAGTGTTAACAAGTATGAGGTGTCAGTTCATTTGCTTGTGGGCAAGTTTCCACATCACCAAAACGTATCGGAATTTATACCTATGACAGGATTTAAAATAAATAAATAAAAAAAATGTGTTAGGCCTCTAAATCCATATTCTGGCTTCTATAAGTTGTCTGATCTTTAAAAAGGGCTGGGCACCCCATCAGCTCCCATTGACTTCCCTGAATGCAAAATTTACTTAAAAAAAGCTTAATCTTAACTCTTCACCTAAAAGATTTCCTAAGTAGAGGTTACTTCATAAGAGATGGCTGGTGGGAACAATTTCCTTCTAACCAACGCTCCCGTTTCCAGTACCCATTACAAGAAACTCAGCTTGACTTGTACTGATGGATAGTGTGTTGTACATGAGGATGATAGGGAAAGAGACTACTGATTTCTATTGGGGCCTACTCTGAGATGTGAGTGTATTTTGAACTAGCTTCTATTAAAATATTTTTGTCTTTGTAGAATCGGGGGGAGAACTGGACATAGTGGTTACCTCCAATAAAGAAGTAAAAGTTGCTGCCATTCGAGATGCTTTCCAAGAAGTCTTTGGAATGGCCACAGTTACAGGAGAAGCTGGACTGTCTAACATTGCACCACAACCTGTGGGCTATGCAGCTGGATTAAAAGTAAGGGGTTAAGGGGAGTATAGAAAGTTTTGTGCAGAGAATATTACAAATATCAGTGACCATGAGCGGAGCAGTTTACCTAGAACAATCCCATCCTCTGAGAAATACCTTTGTCTCCCCAGAAAATTTAAATGGGGAAGCTTTCTTGTTCATTACTGTCTTTGTGTATAGGTGTCATCTATGCCACGTCAGTCATTAGAATGTGCTCTCAGGCATGTGTGTCCTGTTGCAAAGACAGCTAAAGAGCATAAATATATTGTCAATTTTCTACATGGTCACTGACTGCAAATGTACATAGCATGTTGTGTCAGATCATAAGAGTTTCACAGTGTATCAATTCTTGGTCCTCTGTCTACTTGATAGTACTATTTAAAATAAATTACACTAGTTTTAAAGGAGAGATTCTCCTATGATGTTACTAACTTGATAAAGTTTTAACACAATTAGGTGATTAAATAGCCAGAACATAATGCTAGAGAATGTATGTGAGAGTAATAGAAACATTTACAATCTTTAACCATGGTGAAACTCAGCACCATTACAAGTAAAGGTGTCTTAAATTTCTTTCAGTATAAAACTAGTTGTTTTTCACATGAAGTCAGTAATTTGCTTTGTAATGAACTAAAGCATATTTGAAACTGCCAAAGTTTTATCACAGTTCGTGTAACTTTTGGGATTCTAAAGGAAGCATTTTTTACTTCAAAATGTTGTTTATTATGCAACACCAAAGGCTTTTTGAAAAATATCTGTGGTGTATGTTAATGATAAAAGTTACATTCATCCATCAGTTTTATGCTGTGTTGTGACCTAAAGAGAATATTTTCTAACCACTCATTACGTTGTCATTTAGGGAGCTCAGGAAAGGATAGACAGCTTGCGTCGGACTGGAGTGATACATGAGAAACAGCCTGCTGTATCTGTAGAAAATTTCATCGCAGAATTGCTTCCTGACAAGTGAGAGGCTTAAATGTATTCTCTGGGAGAAAAATCATTCTGTATTGGGTCCAGGTGCCCCATAAAGAGTTGTTAGCAGTATTCTACTTGAGAGATGAAAGGAGAGAATCTGTCATTGTATGGTATTGTCTTGGCAGGCTTTGCTTTGATGAAATTGTTTAGCTTCCTGCTCAAAAAATCTTGAGAGCTTAATAGCTAAATTCTGTCAGGTTTATGAGACTTAAAGTTGAAAAACATGCCACAGTTGCACTTAAATCTACAGAAGTGAGAAACTTATAGTAAAGTAAAAGCTGGAATTGGTTACTAGTTCTGTTCTGAAATGACAACTGATTTGGAGAGTATACTAGGTAGGTACTAAGCATCAGAGGGGTAGCCATGTTAGTCTGGATCTGTAAAAGCAGCAAAGAGCCCTGTGGCACCTTATAAACTAACAGACGTATTGGAGCATAAGCTTTTATGGGTGAATACCCACTTTGGCATGCATCCGATGAAGTGGGTATTCACCCACGAAAGCTTATGCTCCAATATGTCTGTTAGTCTGTAAGGTGTCACTTTGCCGCTGAGGTAGGTACTGACACTCTCTAGTAATGTTATGCTTAGGTAGTACCTTTTATCTAATAACGTATGATATTCTCAAGTCTGGTCAGCTTTCCTTTACCATTCACACACAATGTACTTCCCAGCACTGCTCTCAGCAGTTGTGACAGTCTCTTGTTTTGGAATTCACATTAACTTGTTTTCTAAACAAACTGTTTTCCTAAGAAAAGATGGAACTGACAAATAATTTTTGAGGTAATTAGTTTCATAATACAATTTGAGAAGTATTAGGGCCCATTTCTTGTTTGTCTTATATGATTTCTTTGGCAAGGATGTGAAGGGATTTTTTTTTTTTTTTGGTAATGTGCTGAGCTTTGATTTGTTTTTTGTTTTTTTTTTAACCTACTCTGCTCCATTCAATTACACTTTTCAAAACTATCTTTAATAGCTTAGGTAGAAGATGGAGCTTGGATTTTAACCCTGCCAGAGTTGCATCGTTGCCAGAATGTCATTCTTCAATTGGTTGATGTTCTTTACTGTTTAAAGCTTTGGGTAACTTGTGTGCCATTGCAGGTGGTTTGACATTGGATGTCTGATTGTTGAAGATCCAGTCCATGGGATTCATCTAGAAACTTTTACCCAAGCGACACCAGTGCCTCTGGAATACATTCAACAGGTGATGTGTTTTGTATCTTTTATCGGGGGTAGACTTATGGCCTGAGCATTAGGAGTTAGAACTCATGAGTTCTAATCTCATCACCAACACCGACTCTCTGGGAAGTTACCTCTCCATTTATAAAATGAGGCTAAGGTCTACCTGAAAGCTGTTGTGAAAGTTAGTCAATACGTTTAACAGCTTTTTGCAGAAAAACACTGTACAAGTCTCATTACTTTTTTAAATTAAAAAATCCAAAACAACCTGTAGACACACATTTCAGTTTGCAAACATGATTTTTTTTATAGGTAGTCATTTAAATCCAAGATGACAGTTGGCAAAAGCCATGTCATAAAGGTCTAGATTGTGCCCAAGAAAGAAATTTTAAATTTTAAAATGCTTTCAATAAAGAATAATGGGAATGTTTGAAAATAATGAATTATTAAAAGATGCTGTGCAAGTTACTGCTGAGTCAATATATTTTTCCATCATTGAGACAGATGGCAGTTTCTGAACCCTAATGCTTGCATTTGTATTGTGACTTAATGACACAACAAACTATTGCCCAGTCCCACAATACGTTAGAGGGCCAAAATGCTGAGCCAGCATGGAGTCCTATTGCCTTCAGTGAACCTATATGCAAGTGCAAGGGTCTTCCCTTGCATGGTGTTTTGCTGGGTTAAGACCTTCTGTTTAGCATATTTAATTTTGGTTTTAGGTTATTTTGCATATAGCTTAAAATAATAAAACTGATCCTTGTCTTGTCACTTTAAGTAAAGTGTAGCCTTGGTCTAGGGGACTTGGGATTCACCACTCCTGGATTCAGTTCCCAGCATTGCCACTGATTCGGTATCACCTTTTCTAAGGACCTTAACCACCCTATTCCTTGGTTTGCCCTTCTTTACTTGCCATCTCCACAGAAGTATTGAGAGTTTCAATTAATAGTAAAACTGTTCGAGAGGTTTGGCTGAGATGAGCTGCGTGAGTGCAAATTTTGTTTGTATACATAAATGTTAGCATTTTAACAATGTGACTTAGACTCTATTTAGATCTTCATTTATAAAATATGTAGCTATCACATCAGACTTGAGGCAAACTTTAATGACTTTTTAAAAAATTTAGTTCACAAATGGTATTTAAACTGCCAACAGTTAGCAGCAAACAGACAATCCCAAGATTCAATAGCAACAACCACTATGGAGGAAATACCTCACCGACTTTGTCTCTCCAGTATCCTGGGGTCTACCTTGCTACAACTACAATTCATACAATGTTCCTTAATCTCATCCACTTTAAAGGACACAAATCAAATATAACCTAACATCATCTAGCTTTTGCAAAACATAACGAATAAGTATTTTTTCCTATTGTTTCCCAACATTTTTTTGTAGGCACTTTCCCATGAAAAATTGCTAAACAAAACTGTTTTTGTTCTGAATATAAACTTCAGTTTCAGGTTTTGAAAACCTAAAACACCCAGATGTGGGTGTTTATCTGTTTTGCTACTGAATCCAATGGAAGACTGCCATGATCTTTTTTTCATTTTAATTTTTCAGAACTTTGTCCAACTTTGGGGAATGTGCACATTGCCAAAAGGAAAAATGTAACGTTGTCAGTCTCATGAGCCTTTTTGCAACTGCATCACGTTGTTGACTCGTATTCAATTTGTGATCCACTATAACCCTGAGATCATTTTTCAGCAGTACTATCACCTAATCAGTTATTCTCCATTTTGTAGTTGTGCATTTGATTTTTTCCTTCCTAAGTGTAGTACTTGGCATTTGTCTTTACTGAATTGCATAGTGTTGATTTCAGTCCAATTCTTTAATTGTCGAGGTTGTTTTGAATTCTAATCCTGTCCTTCAAAGTCCTTGAAAACCCTTCCAGGTAGGCGTCATCCACAAATGTTATAAGCTGTCGTGTTTTGGGGTGCAACCCGGACTAGTGACAAGTTGTCACCATCCACCCTTTAACTCTGGATGCCTTGAGTGCTCTTGTATTGTGGCTCCCCCCCAGACACCAGCAGACAAATACGCAGTTCCCAAAGTGTCTATGTCCTGTGCAACCCTGGTTCAGTACTCTGACACCAGCAGCCTGCCTACAACACAACAGCACCCCATTGATTTCCACAGGCCGCGGTTACTATGTACAGGGTGACCTGAACACACTCCCAGTTCCATATTTCCTCCAAACCATTGGCCGTGAAGTGTCCAGCCCTCTTCTGGAACACTCAAAGAATTGATAAGGTTTTTTGCTCGTTTAAAAAGACAAATAGCACAGCTTATTATTTTAACTGGAGTTAACAATCTTTTCAATTCAAACACAGCACTGAGTTGGATTATAGTGAAAAAAGATACTTTTATTAACAAAAGGACTTAGGTTAAAAGGTACCAAGTAGAAGTGATTGAAGGTGGAACAGGTTGCATACAAAAGTAAAAATACAATTTGTGGTGGCTAAGACTTAACTCAACAAGCCACAACCTTTGTTCAAGGTAGATTTCTTACCAATCTTTTTCTTTCCATCCATGGCTGACTTTCTGTCAAAGATCTTTGCCTAAGCAGGTTTTTTTTTACTTACGTTCAAGCCCCAGAGACTTCAGCCCCCTTGGTTGAATTACCTGTCTTTCTCAGCCTGCAAGATCTCTGGCCCCTTGTGTCTGTCCAGTGATGGACGCCAAGATGGCTTCTTCTCTCTTCTTATATCTTCACAGACTCACTGTTTTGTCCCCAGACTCAGGATGGACCTCTGGCTATTCTTCCCTTTCTGTGGGCTTTCTATCCCCTTGCTGATTCATATGTAAAAGGACTACTTTTGTTTTGATTCAACAGTGCTACCTTCCCTCCTGTCTGGGGGAAAAACTTATTTCTCTCTGTGTTTTGGTCACAGACTTTAAAGCATAATATCATTGAGTATCCAGATTTCTTCATATAGTGTTAATACGTACATTTCATAATGATATTAATCAACAGTGTGTTCCTAACTTTCATAAAAGACCTTACTCAATAAACATTTATAAAAAAATAATTATATACAATCAGTTGATTCCATTACTTCTTGGTTGAAGTTCAGATCCCCTCCAGATCCCCTCCAGAGACTATCTCTCCCACTCACTGGGTTGATGTCTCTGTTTACCTTTCTATATAACTGTGCCTTCGTTGTCTGCCTGACCAGCAAACACACATTTCTTTGTTTAGGGCAGACTGGCCTTATGCATTGCTTTCCAGTGATCTATTACGTGCCATCTTTTGGGTATGTATCATGATGGAGTGTCAGGTGTAGTGAGCATGTCAGGCCTGATAAGAGTTGCTGACTCAGAGTAGTGAACCACCAATAGGCCTCTGTGTTACAGCATACACCCACTCCATTGCCTAAGTCATTAATGAAAATGTTGAATAGTACCAGGCCCAGGAGTGATCCCTGTGGGAGCCAACTAGATAAGCCCTCCCAGTTTGACAGCAAACTATAGATAACTACTCTTTGAGTACAGTCTTTCAACCAGTTGTGCACCCACCTTATAGTAATTTCATCTAGACCACATTTTGCTTATGAGAATGTCAGACTGTATAAAAATTTTACTGAAACAAAAATATATCCCATCTACTGCTTCCATCCTAGTCAGTAGCCAGAAACGCTGTAAAAGAAGGAAATTAGATTTGTTTGGTATGATTTGTTCTTGACAAATCCAAGCTGGCTATTCCTTATAACCCTGTTATCCATTAGGTGCTTACAAATTTATTGTTTAATCATTTGTACCAGTAATTTGCCAGGTATCGAAATTAGGCTGACTGTTATGTAATTTCATGGGTTCTCTTTGTTCTTGTTTTTAAAGATAAGTACTACCTTTACCCTTCTCCAGTTATCTTGGACCTTACCCATCCTCCCTGAGTTCTCAAAGATAACTGCTAATGGTTTTAAGATTGCTGAAACTAGTTCCTTAAGTACCCTAGGATGAATTTCCTTAGGCCCTACTGACTTGAATACATCTAATTTATTTAAATATTTTTTAACCTATTTTTTCCCTGTTTTGGCTTGCATTCCTTCTCCCTTGTTGTTAATACTAATAGCGTTAGCATCAGGTCACCCATCAACCATTTTGCTGAAGACTGAAGCAAAATAGACATGAAATACCTCAGGCTTCTTGATCATCCATTATTAGCTCTCTTCTCCCCTCCTACCTCGCCCCCACCCCCAGGACTTTACCCTCAGCCGAGTGAATGGACAAGAATACAACCTGCGCCCTTGACTCCTTCACCCTCACTCCCAGAGCTCTGTACTCAATTGCTGAGCTGCTCGGGGTCATATCTGGAGTGTCATTCATGACCATATGGATGAGCAGCATGAAGTAGTGGTTGGAGGGACAGAGGAGCCTCAGCAACTTTTCTGTAACATCTCAAGTGTGGGCTCCAGGCTAGCAGAACACCTCCCGAAATATCCCGTCAGGTTGGCAGATGGATTCCTCCATTCCCCTCAGAAGGGAGTCCCCGACCACCACCATTCTGCACTGCCTTTTTGAGGTGGGGGGGGGGCAGGTGGGGTGGTCGTAAGCATCCTAGCTTTGGGCGCAGGTGGCTCCTCCTTCTCAGCCATTGGGATCTGCTTCTCACATATTACCATCTGTCACAATTATCTATCCCCTTATTAAACAATTCTTTTGCTGCTAATTTAATTCTCTGGAGAGGAAACTTTGGTCTTGCATCAAAACAGACTACCTGTTGTATACTTTTGTCAATGACAACATTCATGACAATGGTAGGGCAGAATTTGGCTATATTCTAGCAAGTGTACGGGCATTTATTGTCATCTAATGGTGTATTGCTTCTACAGGACAGTAGGATCTAGTGAGGTTGTGCACACAGTATGGGTATTTCAACTTAGGTAGATAGTGCACACACAGGAACTGATTGAGTCAGTGAGAATGTTGCCACAGCAAGGAGCGAAGAATGTGGCCCATTGTAATTTTAATGAAATTAGTATGGTATGGTGATCTAAGGAGTTGACACCCAGTTCTGGCATGGACTCCTTCTAATTTTGAGCAAATCGCTTGGAGTCTGTGCCTGACTTTCCACATTGAGATGGGATACTTACTTGTTTCACAGGGTTGTTGTAAGGATTATAATACTTTTAAAGTCCATTGAAAGATGAAAATCACTAAATATATAAGTAACTTTATTGGTCACATCTGTTTGGCAGCTTTTTTTATATATAACTTTCTGGTAATTACAAGGTAACTTTATTTTAATAGTCATGCTGTATAACGGCTCTGGGAATGTCTAATGGTTGTCTAAGAATGTAATATGTAGAACTCTGAAAACCTGTTGGGTGAGTAGAGATGTAACCAGTTATTGTGGGACAAACTTTTAGGGTCAGATTCTAATATCCTTTCTCCTTTGTATATTATTATTCAGGAAGTCCTATTAAAATTATTGAGACTACTGACCACATAAAGGACTAATCCAGGGGAATATGGGTATTAGAACCTGGCACTTTATCTCATTCATTTAATAACATCTCCTCAAATTATTACACAGGCTCAGAGTCTCACTCCCCAGGACTACAATCTAAGATGGTCAGGTCTTTTGGTGACAGTTGGTGAAGTGCTGGAGAAGAATTTACTGAATATCAACAGGACTGATTGGCATATCGCATTCACTGGTATGTCCCGTCGACAAATGATCTACAGTGCAGCCAAAGCTATAGCAGGAATGTACAAACAACATTTACCACCCAGGACCATTTGAAAGAAGCTTGACTCATCACACTGAATGCTGTTTTTCTGTTCAGCTTGATATGAAGGAAAAGATTGCAGCTTCTGCCAATATTCAAGTCCTCAGTGAATACAGCGCAATTTGGTAATCTACCTGTAAACTGTAATTTTTTTCTTTTTAAAAAAATGAAGGTACTGTTCCAATAATGGAAATGAACAACTCCAGTTTTTAATAATCCAGTATAATTAATGAGAAGAGAATTAGATGCAAACAGATACATTTATAGCAGGGCCAAATAGCATTAAAATTTGTAAGGTGGAATGCATTTTCATTTCAAAGACACTTAATAGGTATTTGCTGAGACACTTAACTTAATATTTTATTTACTCAAATATAACTTTTTTTAAAGGGGGCGAGGGTACAAATATTATCTTTTGCATTTCAGTCGAGACAGTACCCTGTATTTTCTAGATGCCTATGTTTTGGAAGTATTTAGCACTTCACAGGGTTAGCCCCTATGTGTGCATGATCTCAGAACTGTTGCTGAGTAGCTCTAAAACATCTTAAAAGTGAATGACCAAGGAAGGGCATAGGTCCATGCTCAAATATATCCAAGGTGTAGACCAAAATAACTTTGAATTTTCATCTTCCATACCTTTTTTTTTTTTTTTTTTAAATACTTTTTCTGAAGTATGGTCCAAGCCAACTCCCCTGGAATCCAATGAATTAGGCACTTCATACGCATAAAAATGTGTCGTCAACTCAGTATAACACAATTCAGTTACTCCAGCATTTATCTACATACAGTCATCCGGGCTACAGAAAGAAAATTACATAGGAGCTTGCATTATCAGTTTTCATCTACCGCAAGTTAATATAGCAAACTGTGTGATATTCATACTGTTTGCTCTGCCATTCTGTATTTTCCAAAGCAGGAATAGAATCCTGCATGGTGTGATAAGTGTCATTGATTCACTACTTCTCCTATACATCTTTGATATCTGTCCTTCATAGCTGAAGATACCCCATAGCTATGCTCAAAGATAATCCTAAATCTCTATTCAAAAATACAGAAGTTATTGTAAAAGAATATTTTGATAATAGGTTTGTTTTAAAAACAAACAATTAATTCTTTGTTTGCCTTAAACACTAGATTTTCAGCTTGAACTGCTCTGCCTTTATCTTTTGTAGATGCTTTCAAAGAACATTTTTGTATGCCATATACTGTCTAGCCAACTTATTATATTTGCACCCAGAAAACCTGTCCTTTTTCCAAGTAATATATTTTGCCATAATTGGCTGTGTAAATTAATATTAAATAAACATTTTTTCCTACAGAATTAAACCTTTTTCATTTAAGATTTTTTTTTAAATAGTTTGCCTGAATGAGTGTAACTTTTACTGTATCTTACACAGGCCATTTGTATAACTAGTATATAGAATTGATACAGCATAGCTTGTTATCTGAAAATAGAAACCTACTACTTCAATATTTTTGGACTTTCTCTCAAAGTAAGAGAGAGAAGTGGGCCCAAACAAGCTCTTTATTTTCTTCGCTGCTCTGAGTCTCTAAACCATTCGATCTCATGCCCTATTTTCTCTCTCAAATTTAGAATATTTGACCTCTTCCCTAAGAAAATAGCTTAAAAGTGGGGCTTGGATAATATAGTGATGAAGACCACCGAGCAAGTCTTTTCCTATGGAGTCAGAGTTCTCTTCCCTCCTCATGAATCTTTTGAAAATAACTGAATAATAAAAGTAAGTCAAGAATCTGAGATAGTGTCAGGAGAAGAAAATCAAGCAAATGAAAATCACTTCAGAAACAGTATTTTGTGTCTTATACAATCTCTTACAGAATGAGTGTGTCTCCAGTCAATTTTATTCGTACCACTACTATGTGGCAGGCAGCACGCTACCTGAAAAATATTTTCAGCAAAGATGGTAAGCTGCTGCTATGTCTAATCCTGTCTGTAAGAGCAGCCTGGCATTTTCCATCATAATCCAAAAAGATGGTACAGAAACCTTGTCTGTCAGTCTTCAGTAAGGGCATCTTTGCCCTTTCAACTCATGGATTTTTTTTTTCTTCAATACACATTGTGAAAAATGTCAGTTGCTCTTTTTCCTCAAGGTGTAGGTAAAAGATTTCTAATACTCAATGGGTTTACATGTCCAGGCATGAATCAGACACCCTATTAAAATTGAAATAGGCTATTTTGTTTTTCTCCTGGACCTTTTTTGTCCTCTCTCCTCAGTTGTCACCATGATGAAGTGAACCACTGCTTATTTTTCAGCACCTTGCTCACAATGACAGCTGCTCAAGAATGGGTGGCCGTGACGTGTACTTCCTGTGATACTACTTGGTAGGATTGAAGTTGCCCAACTGCCTGAGTCAGGTTAGTTGTGTAGTGTACAGCACTGTTATAACTCTCTTTACCTCAGAGAGTTCATCACCATACAAAACAGTCAAGAGTCTGCTATGCCGATGCGGTCTCTGAATCCCCAGTGTCAGTTGCTCCAAAATTCTGGGTAGATGGTAATTTTTTAAAAGGATGCCACTCATTCAGACTCGGAATTCTCTACTACTTGAGTTCTGGACAAAAATTCAAACCACTAACAGTTTCTTCTCGAATGAGGTATTAAACTCTGAACAGTTGGAGTGTATGAGGCAGGAGCATGTCTACTCTATGGAGTACAAGTCGTTTCACAGTGAGATCAAACGCATTCTTGACTGCCTTTAGAAAAAGGAAGCACTGAAACTGCTTGAATTTCACTTCACATCCTAATAACACAGAGTTGGTTTCACCTTGTAGTTTCCTAATATAAATTGTTCCCAATTACTCCTAACGCTTCTCAGTATAAGTGAGAGAGTTTCTTGTAGGCGGCGTGGAGGAAGTGGGCCAGTGACAGACTTACATGCAGCAGACTTCCAGGTGAAGTTGGGAAAGGTGTTCTGTGTAAGGTTTATTTTTTAAAATTTTATTTTGATTTAAATGAGAGAGCTGAGCACTGTACAAATACATTGAAATGTTTGATTTTATTAATGTTCAATCGGTTCACTTCTATCAAGCAGCAGCTCTTCATACAAATAGTAATGCCCCCATACGTGAGTCACTACCTCAGTCTCTCCTAACTCCTTCGTAAAGGCCAGGCCAAACACAAGCTCCCTGCACTGTGCTCTGAAACCTGACAAATTAGGCTATATTGGACCTGTGTGGGAACCCACTGCAGAGTCTGAGCCCTTGCTAGCTGCCCCAACTCCTCTGTTACATCAAGGGAGACCATCAGCTCTTCTTCCACTGATGGTAACTCGGACTGTATCATGGGGGAAGTGAGGTGGTCTCTCAGGTGTACAATATGATGGCCCACAATTATAAATTAACACACTTCTTTAAGAATAAATGTGGTTGCTTATAAGGTAAAAGCATTACAGAGAAAACATTAAAAACAAGAAAAGAACCTACACAGATGCTAAAAAGCTTACCCGAGGTCACCCCAATTCAACCTTTGGGTTCTAGTAGGTGTCAGTCCTTAAAAACCTATGACTTGGTTTTCCTTGTGGTTACAAGTTCATAACTGTCTTAGGTTCAGAACCGGCTCAACCATGAATAGTTCAGTCTTAACTTTATACAGCTTGGGCCTTTGATCCTGGCCTTATGTAACAGGTGATCCACAGACTGATCCCCTCTGCAGGGATAGTTTCAAAAGGCTGCATTCACTTCCCTTCAGATATTCCCCTGGAGAAAACACGTTTTGTTCCAAAAGTCCATTCATGTATGTCACATTGTTCAACAGAGTTCTTTGAACCTCTCCCCCCGTGTCTCAACTGTCCTAATGTCCTCCCTTGAGAGGTTATATACAATACTGGTTCACAGGAATACATAAACCATTCATTTAATACCATGGACCCCAAAGATACTTAAACTTAATTCAATAACATCTTCTAACGACACTTTAAGAAACTGCCATCAGTCATTTCTAGTATGCTGCCATTATCGTGCTGGTACAATTAATTGATAATGAAAACTTTAAAACAAAGACAAAAGAAAATGTGTGGTGCTTGTGAATAACTTTTGAAAACGTGACCATCACTTTGAAACTCCCAGCTCTCTCATACTGGTTACGCTGTCTCAAAATGGAACAGTTCCTGTTATCGCTAAGATTCTTTGTAGGGATTTTCTCTGTACTTCACAGTTGGATTCCACTGCTTTGACCCTAATTTTCTTCAAACTTCTTTAGCAAGCAGCACAACATGAGATTAAAGTAATCACCTCCGTTCTGATGACATCTGATTTGCTCTGTTTTTAACTTTCCTTTTTTAGTGTCCAGTACTTCCGCCATTCTGTTTTGTCTATATTTTGTTTCTCCCCATCTCCTCCCAAAGAGTCACTTCTTTTACTTTGTTCTTTAAACTTTTCTTCATATAACTGATCATACCGCTCTCCATTCAATGGAAGTCCTGCTGCTGTCACTATATCTTCCTCAGGCCTTTCATGCTCTCGCAGGCTGCCGTTCTGAACCTTCTGATTCCATCACTTCCTCCTACCGTTGACATGCACCCAGTCCTTCCACTTACTCTTTGAAGCAGGAGCTCTGTGTATCAACTGAGAATGCAAGTTGCCCCTCCCCTCTCTGTTTTTGCATTCAGCATTTAACATCAATGTATGTTGATGTAGCATTCAAAGCAAGATGTTAAATGTTTCCCATCTTGCCTGGTGTGTCTTTTCCCCTCTGTCTGATTCTTTTTATTATGTATTTGAAAAGGTATTCAAGGGCAGAAAGGAACCACTGACATGCCTACTGAATTCTACCTACTCCTGTGTAATGCTCCCAAACATTTGGAGCCATGACTCAAAGGAGTATTTATGGTGTAATTTTACCATAGAAGGGACTGCAGTCTGGATATTTTCCATTTGTGAAGTTTTCAGTGAATTAAGGACATAGATGAAAGGATGCACCCTCTGCTTCTAATGAACATCTTTTTAAAAGGCAATTTTTAATAATTTAATCTCATCAGATTGTCTTGCTTACATGTATTAAAACTCATTTGTATTGTTTAGGTGTAATAAATCCATGGCTACCCAGAACTTTATGGTTGTCACTAATGCTACTGACTTTTTGGTTGTTTAGCACTTTGCAGTGCCAGAGAAGCTAGAATTCATGTTCTAAAAAGCACAGGCCCATACCACATAAACTTTCGGGAAATCTTCAGCTGTTTTGAGAACTGCAATAATATAAATAATAATAATAAAGGATCTATGGCCCTCATTAAGCATTTCTAATTATATCCAGAAGGTGGCAATACACATATGTACTAACCAGCTCATTACAGTTTTAACTGAATAGAATGAGACGCTCGTTTAGAAACTTCTTTGTTCCTTTGAAATCTCATTTTTCAATTGTGCGTGATGGGCAGCAATTTACTGCTGGTGATTGGCTGCTGGCTTCTAAATCTGTCATGTGAACTACCATACACAAAAACTGATGGACAGTCTTAAGGTTTCCAGGGCCCCCATGTGTGCATCATCATGCAGATTTTTTTAAATCACAAATAATTTTGTATTTTTTATTAGTCACTGTAGGCATAAACAGGCAGCCATAACTTTTTAATTTTTTGACTTGCTCCCTTTGCTACCATAACATTCTTTTAGTGTGGGAGGTGGTGAGTACAGAATATCTAATGTTCTTCAAGTTACAGCCTGTCTAATAAGCCAGCAGAATTATGAGCCCAACTGAAGTGAACCCCTCCTTATAGCACCGTAGTTTGTCTCCTCTCAAAAAAGTGTTAGTCACAAAAGCCAAATTCTACTTATAATTTTAAAAATATAGTTCTTTTAACAAACTGAAATATTTTTCCAGTTCATGAGGAGCATCGCAGACAATGGCCCTTAAAGGGAAACATGAGGGTACAAAGTGTTGCATGATTTATTGAGAATGTGCTGACAGCTGCTAATCTTTATAAAATTCTAGTACCTGACAGGATCTCATTAAATACTATTTTGCACTAGTCTGAAATCTATGATAAATGTGGCACATCACTGATTGCAGATAAATAAAATTTCAGGAGCAGTAGATCGCTGAAGAGGAACTTGCAGCCTGAGTCCTAATTTGCTTTCTCTCACCAACACCTTTATGCTCCCCCCTGTTTGTATAGTGTGGAGGGGAGCAAAGGAGCCACAAAGGGGAGGAGAATTCCCAATCCAGTGACTAGGTCATGGGACTGAGGGTATGTCTACACTACGAAATTAGGTTGAATTTATAGAAGTCGGTTTTTTAGAAATCGTTTTTATATATTCAAGTGTGTGTGTCCCCACAGAAAATGCTCTAAGTACATTAACTCGGCGGAGTGCTTCCACAGTACCGAGGCAAGCGTCGACTTCCGGAGTGTTGCACTGTGGGTAGCTATCCCACAGTTCCTGCAGTCTCCGCTGCCCATTGGAATTCTGGGTTGAGATCCCAATGCCTGATGGGGCTAAAACATTGTCGTGGGTGGTTCTGGGTACATATAGTCAGGCCCCCGTTCCTTCCCTCCCTCTGTGAAAGCAAGGGCAGACAATCGTTTCGCGCCTTTTTTCCTGAGTTACCTGTGCAGACGCCATACCACGGCAAGCATGGAGCCCGCTCAGCTCACTGTCCCCGTATGTCTCCTGGGTGCTGGCAGACGCAGTACTGCATTGCTACACAGCAGCAGCAACCCATTGCCTTGTGGCAGCAGACGGTGCAATAGGACTGGTAGCCATCATAGTCATGTCTGAGGTGCTCCTGGTTGCCTCTGTGAGGTCAATCAGGAGCACCTGGGCAGACATGGGCACAGGGACTAAATTTGGAGTGACTTGACCAGGTCATTCTCTTTAGTCCTGCAGTCAGTCCTATTGAACCATCTTATGGTGAGCAGGCAGGTGATACGGATTGCTAGCAGTCCTATTGCATCATCTTCTGCCGGGCAGGCAAGAGATGAGGATGGCTAGCAGTCCTATTGTACCATCTTCTGCCGAGCAGCCATGAGATGTGGATGGCATGCAGTCCTTCTGCACCGTCTGCTGCCAACCAAAGATGTAAAAGATAGATGGAGTGTATCAAAGCAAGAAATAGATTTGTTTTGTACTCATTTGCAACCCCCCCCCCGTCTAAGGGACTCATTCCTCTAGGTCACACTGCAGTCACTCACAGAGAAGGTGCAGCGAGGTAAATCTACCCATGTATCAATCAGAGGCCAGACTAATCAGAGGCCTTCCTTGTTCCAATAAGAACAATAACTTAGGTGCACCATTTCTTATTGGAACCCTCCGTGAAGTCCTGCCTGAAATACTCCTTGATGTAAAGCCACCTCCTTTGTTGATTTTAACTCCCTGTAAGCCAACTCTGTAAGCCGTGTCGTCAGACGCCCCTCCCTGCGTCAGAGCAACGGCAAACAATCGTGCATCTGAGTTGAGAGTGCTGTCCAGAGCAGTCACAATGGAGCACTCTGGGATAGCTCCCGGAGGCCAATACCATCGAATTGTGTCCACAGTACCCCAAATTTGACCCGGCAAGGCCGATTTAAGCACTAATCCACTTGTCAGGGGTGGAGTAAGGAAATCGATTTTAAGAGCCCTTTAAGTCGAAATAAAGGGCTTCATTGTGTGGACGGGTGCAGGTTTACATCGATTTAACGCTGCTAAATTCGACCTAAAGTCCTAGTGTAGACCAGGGCTGAGAGTAGGAGACCTTTGGTTCTGTCCTCAGCTCTGTTACTGGCCTGCTGTATAATATCTTGGGCAAATCACTTCACACCTCTGTGCCTTAGTTTCCCCACCTGCAAAATGGAGAGCATAATATGTATCTTCTTTTGTGAAATCCTCTGAGATCTCCAGGTGAAAATTACTGTGTGAGCTAAGTATTTTTATTATCTACCTTTGGGAATTCAGCCAGTGGGATACTCTTTTTCCCTCCTGAGGAGCCCATGGAAGCACTGCTCTATGGGCTTGATCTAACTCCCACTGAGGTCATGGGAATCTTTCCTTGACTCCAAATTGATTCCTTTTTTACAGTCTATTTTTGTTCCTGGAGAACAAGAAAAAAGGCACTAGGAAATAGCCTTACTGCCACTAAAATGTAGCTAAACTGATTTAAATGCAAGCCTCTTTAAAAATATTTTTCTGATGGAGGTGAAAATGCTAGTGTCTCCTTCACTGCTCAGGCTCTAGTTATTAAAACTTTGTATTCAGTTCAAATATAAATACCAGCTTTTTTGCCAGTATTAATATTTGACTGAAAATTGGTGAGAGGAAATAAAGCAGGTGTTTCCCAAATTTAAAATGGCTAGTGCCATTCATGAGTGTAACTCCTGGTTCATGTTTTGAGGGGAGGAGGATTTTAGCTTGGTAGTCTGTTGCTGGAGCAGATGTGGTGTTTAATAGGTTGTGTCAGGGATCCAGCAGGGAGTTGGGAGTTTTAGCAAGCCTCTTATTTAGAAAATGTATGAACGCAGGACAAAGTGCCATGTTTAGTACCCTCACTGAGGACAATTACAAGAAAAGATTGATTGCCTCAAAGAGCCAGCATCTGACACATTGGTGAAGTCCCTATAGCAGGTGAGCTTTTATGTTTTCCTGAATGGTCTATCCACTTTTAACAGCGGGGTTGGCTAGGATGATTCATCAGTGGGATGGTAATATTAGAGGAGTGCCTGTCCAATCAACATGCTCACTGCATGGATATCATTTCACGGCTGATTAGACCATTTTCATATGGGGAATTTCTGACAGAATGATGTTTCTAAGAGGGGTTGCTGTATTTATTTAAACAGAACTGTTGAATATGCATTAGTTATCAAAGGCCTGGCGTAGGAGGACATACACTACCTGATTACCATGATTGGCATACTGTGCCTGACAGCTCATCTGCACTGTAGAAGCATTTGGGCTTATCTGTGCAGCACCCCAGGGGGTGTTATCACATAGCTCAGCTTTTTTATAAAAGGAAACTACCTGTTTTGCCTAGCACAAAAATCTCAGATGTTTGAATGGTGAAATGTATGTATTGGCATAGCTGGACTCCAAAATATATTTGCAAACATTTCCAGTGGGCATTTCAGAGCCAATTAATCTTAGTGGCCATCTTGCTGACCTTGACGACTAATGGCTAGAGTTGTCTTCACAGAACATTTCTCTAGCTTGGTAGATAGAACTGCCTTCAAAAATTGTCAAGATTTTCCCATTCCACACTAGGACAAACAGGGCCCTTTTGAAGTGGGAGACTCAGCTTCAAGTTGCTGCTCTGCCTGATTCTGAGTAGGGACGTGAACCCCAGTCTCCCGCATCCCAGGTGAGTGCTATAACGAGGCTATAGACTCAGTCTCTGGAGCCACTCAGATTAAAGAGTGTTTAATTTATGAAATACTCTTATTGTAAAGTATCAGGGGGTAGCCATGTTAGTCTGTATCCACAAAAACAACAAGGAGTCCGGTGGCACCTTAAAGACTAACAGATTTATTTGAGCATAAGCTTTCGTAGGTAAAAACCCCACTTCTTCAGATGCCTGGAGTGAAAATTACAGATGCAGACATAAATATACAGGCACATGAAGAGAAGGGAGTTACCTCATAAGTGGAGAACCAGTGTTGACAGGGCCAATTCGATCAGGGTGGATGTAGTCCACTGCCAACAATAGATGAGGAGGTGTCCTCTTCGGGAACAATATAGTGAGAGGACAAATACAAAACTACCCTTTTGCTACTCCCATAAATATTCTGGTTGGCGGTGTGTCCACTTAATGAAACACAGTAAAATGTACCATAAAATTAGACAATTAATATGATATGATGAATTTCATGATCCAAAATATTGTTTCTCTATTTGATAAAGATACTTACATTCATTGCTCCACTATTTTATTGAGACAAATCTTTCCCCAAAAGGTGTTTCATATGTGGCAAATTTTGGCTTCTCTTTGGGTCTTCAGACTTTTGTTTAAGATACTTGATGAAGCATAAACATACATTCCATTCAGTTCAGATCTTCAGGTTGAATGTTTGAGCTATACAGTGCTTGAGTCCTGCTGGGAAATTCTAGTATGCCGTTCCAGAACTTTCTTGAGGAGCCAGAATGGCTTCTGATGGCACTTCTGGTACTTGTGTTCAGGCACTTCTTGAGTATAGCATTCACCTACTGGACCTCTAGTAAGCATGCAAACCACAGGCCATCAGCTTGAACAGAGATACATATGCTCAGTGATGCATTCTGAGAAGGAAAGCTATTTTGAATCAAGTTTTAGAAATACCAATTACTTGCTTGTTTGAAGGTTCATAGATTCAAAGGCCAGAATGGACCATTGTAATCCTCTAATTTGACCTCTTGCATACCATGGGCTAGAACTGCTTTTGACTTCTCTTGGGAAATGCCTTGCACTGCCAAACCAACATTTATATATTCTCTGCAGTAAAACATGTGGGCCAGGAAATATAGTTCGTCCACCTCACTATCTCTTTGATGTTTGCTAATCGGTAATGGAATCCCCTATCTTTCTAGCCTGGTGTGTTTTCTAGGTGTGGAGAATTTGCTAACCTAACAATTTACAACAAGAATTTGGTAGCAATGTCTTAAGTATTATTTATTCATTTTTCATCTCTTCTTTCTTTTATAGCGTCAGCATCAAATAATTTATCTGAAGTTAGAGGTGAAATCCTGGCCCCATTTAAGTCAATGTCAAAACTCCCATTGACTACAAAATAATACTTAGTTCTTATATAGGCTTTTTGCATCCATATTTTGCAGATGGGGTAACTGAGGCACAGGATGCTGAAGTGATTGCCCAAGATCACCCATTAGAGGCAGTGGCAGAGCTGGGACTAGAACTCAGGTCTATCCATTAGGATACACTGCCTCCCAATAGGGTCAGGATTTTACCCAAAGTCTGTTAAAGGCAGTAAATATGATACAAGGAAGAGGTAACTCCATGTTCCCTCACTTGAAGGCGGTGAAGTTTGTATCATTCTGGCTTCTGCAAAGAGAAAGTGACTTTGCTACTCTCTCTCTCCCTTTGCCAAATGCCTGCTATGTGGGGAGAAGGTTTCCTATGCTCTACTCCTCTCCCAGCCTCAGTCTTTGCAGCTGCTTCCTCTGAGTAATACCAGTGCCTAAACAGACAAAACAGATGGAAGGAAACAGAGGTCTGCTGCTGCTTAGAGATTTCTCAAGGAGCAACACAACAATGAAATTGAAATGATTATTCACAGTTTCCTGCAGCCAAATTCCAGATAAGAGCAGTGAAACTGACCAATGCTTTATTAATTTCATTTTGTTACAGCTTGACAAAGCAATGAACTGCAACTTGCTTTGGCTCCACAGAGCTGTCCCTGCATCTCAACAAATGAACGGACTAATCTCAAGCTTCCATTTCTTGGGGAAAGTCATTGAAATAGTGGTGGCTGGGCAACACCAGAAAGCACAGTAAATTTTTGTTTTTTTAACCTTGCAGTCTGGTTTCAAACCAGGATAAAAGGCCTGGGTGCAAACCACCCAAGCCACAGTTTATACCAGTGGTTTTCAAACTTTTGTACTGGTGACCCCTTTCACATAGCAAGCCTCTGAGTGGACCTCCTTATAAATTAAAAACACCTTTTAATATATTTAACACCATTATAAATGCTGGAGGCAAATCGGGGGTTTGTGGGGGGGGGCTGACATCTCACAACCTCCCATGTAATAACCTCACAACCCCCTGAGGGGTCTCAACCCCCAGTTTGAGAACCCCTGGTTTATACAGATAATAACATAACATAAGAACAGGCATACTGGGTCAGACTGATGGTCCATCCAGCCCAATATCCTGCCTTCTGACAGTGACCAACACGAGGTGCTTCAGGGGGAATGAACAGAACAGGACACTTTTTCAAGTGACCCACCCCATCATCCAGTCCCAGCTTCTAGCAGTCAGCTGTTTAGGGACACCCAGAGCATGGACACCCTGACCATTCTGGCTAATAGCTATTGTTGAGCTTAGCCTCCATGAATTTACCTAATTCTTTTTTAAATCCAGGTATACTTTTTGCCTTCACAACTTCCCCTGGCAATGAGTTCTACAGGTTGACTATGTGAAGAACTTCCTTAAGTTTGCTTTAAACCTGCTGCCTATTAATTTGATTGGATGACCCCTGGTTTATATGTTATGTAAAGGGGTAAACAACACTTACTAATTCACTTTCTCCACACCAGTCATGGATTTTATAGACCTCTATCGTATCCACACTTAGTTGTCTCTTTTCCAAGCTGAGCAGTCCCAGTCTTTTTAATCTCTCCTTGCTTGGGAAGCTGTTCCATACCCCTAATCATTTTTATTGCCCCTTTCTGTACTTTTTCCAATTCTAATGTATCTTTTTGGAAATGGGGCAGCCGGAACTGCATGCAGTATTCTAGGTATGGATTTATATCATAGCATTGTGGTATTTTCTGTCTTATTACCTATCCTTTTTGTAATATTTCCTATTCTGTATGGATGCAGTATGTATGGTTTGCACCAGTGCAGCTATGTCAGTGTAACTATGCCCAGTAAAGCCACCAATGGAGCAATTGATGAAATAAAAAGTTAGCCCAGGGCATGTGCATGTCACTGAAAAAACAGGGACTGAAGATGGAAAGTGACCTCTGACACCAAGATTTTGGCTCTTTTCTAGTGCATTTGTGGTAATATTTTCTACAGATGAGCTGAAACAAAGAGCTAAATCCTCAGCTGGTGGAAATCAGCATTAACTCCAACTGATTTTAGTGGCACCATACTGATTTAAACTAGTCAAGGATCCAGTCCACAAGCTCTGGAGTTTCGACAGGCTGTTAAATCTGAAATTCAGTTATGACAATTTCTGTTTACTTCAACATTGAATAGAGCTTTCAGGAAGCAAAGCAAAACTGACCACTTCAGCCACTATCACTGACAAATACTCCCGTCCTGCTGGTTCCATGGAAACACCAGGTACAATTAATAAACAATCAAGATACAGTCAGTGATGGCAGTGTTAGAGAGGAAACATCTGGATCCAAACATGGCTGGTGAGGAAATATGTGGGTCTTGTCAATTCCAGGGTGGTTTGATCTAGGAATAGTTAGTGAGGAAACACCATTTACTAACATCTATTTTAAATGAAAACTGCAAAATGGGCAGATGCTTAAGAACTGCTTTTACAGAGGAAGCACTCTCTATAGCATACAAAATTCAGTGGCAGAAAAATAAAATGGTAATTTAAAGGCTGTTTTTTCAGTGAAGGCAGTGAAGTGCACATGTCCTGGGATATCTTTTTATTTCATCCGTTGCTACATTGGTGGCTTTATTGAATTTCTGCATCATGCCCTCACTGCTATCCAGATGAGACAGATTGACTAAGAATCTGTCCCACATCAGAAGTCTGGACATAAACTGTCAAAAAGAATTTATTTCTCTCTTTAAAACCATGAAAATGATTGCATGAGGGTTACAATCATATTCCCTGTGGATGTTTCTCCACAATTTTATCATTAGAAATAAAATATTGGTGGCTTAATATTAAACTGGATAAGATAAACCTTAATCATGGGAACAACATTATAAAAACTTTGGTTTAAAACATTTTGACAGGAAACAAACAACCAAACCTGAAATGAAACATTTTTTAATGGGAGAATGCAGAGAGGAACAATCACATATTCCAAAATGCAGTCTCATTTTAAAAAACACAGCACTCTTTAGAAATTGCAACTATAGGCCATAAATGCAACAATACATTCAGCTTATCAGTTTGGAAACTGGTATTTTGTCTTGTGAAACTTAGCAAAATATTTCAATTAAATAAATTCAAGAATCAAATAACATTTTATCCACATGTGATTTTTAAAGGTAATTTCAATTGATACTAACCAACGAAGCTCAAAGAATCCAGTACTAGTGAAGAAAACACAAGACAAAGAGGTAGGAGAAACAATCATTTATAATTTTATAAATCCCTGACAAAGAAATTGTGATATCCTCCTTTTATTAGTTCACAGAGTTTAAATTCTCACTCTTTTGTATAGTTTTGTGGTTTCTTCGAGGCTGTACTGACATTAATTCAATCTTATAAAGGAGTAGATACTTCTTACCATTCTTTACCTTTTAGTGAATTTACCCTTTTCACAGGAGAAATTTTAGTAGAAGATGAATTTCAACTTGCACACTTACAAGTCACTGAAAAATTCAGATCCTTATTGTGCTTCAATATAAATAGTTTGACTGTGTGTAAAGTTCCTAGATAGTATGGTGAATGGCATTTCAGAGGATGCTTATTATAATCATGTTCACTAACATTTTTTAACTAATATGATGTTAAACATAGTTTTGCACCTACCATAGATGAGACAAGTTGTGTTTTAAAATGTGTCAGCTTCTCATGGTTAACTCCACCTTAGAGTTAACTATGTTCAGCTAGGACCTTTTTTAAACATGACTGTCCTTGTCCACAAAAAGGACAAAATCATGTTTAACTTGGTGTTAGTTGACATGTTTGTTAACACAATGCATTTCTCCAGTGTAGCCAACATCTAAGACAGTTGATTTGTTCCCTCATTAATCTCTCTCATCCTTGGATTTTTGGGATCTTGTGCTCTTAAATCTTTTCCTCTGCTTGTTTAGCAGCTCTGGCAATAGCTTCACCATTAACACTTTTCTATGTCAGATCCCCCCATATCTCTCTCCCATCTACAGCTGGTCAGAAAATAGGTTTGTCCTCCAAGCAAAATGTCTCTGGAAATTTAAAAAATTGTTTTCATCAAAATTTTCCATGGAAAATGTTGCCATTTTGGCAAAAAATCAAAACCTGGAAATTTTTGTTTGAAAACCAAAAATTTTTATTGGGAAATGCAATTGTGGTGTCTCATGGTAATTGTAGCGCAGGTGCTTCATGCCACCATTCTCCTGTATGGGCCAGGCCCACTGGCCAGCCTATTTCTCCCAGGATGCACCATGGTCTCATTTATTGGTGAGCTGCTGTGGTGCACCTTGGGAAGTCCATATCTGTGGTGCACCATGGGAGATGTAGTCCAGCTGAAGAGCACCCAAAATCTATTACTTTTTAAAAATCTCATATTTTTGCATCTGACTCATAATTTTTGCATTCTTGGGGTTGGCAATACTGGGAAGGGGATGACATCAAAGTAGGGTTTGGAGTCCATGTTCTCTGGGGGAGATAGAAAAGAGGGATACATGGAAAGATAGCAGAAGGCTAGAGAGTCAAGCATGGTGACTGAATGGGGATGCACAGGAATGGAGAACATGCAAAAAAGGTCAAGGAAGGGTGGCAAGACACTGGAGGTCATGACATGGAGTGCAAACTTCCAGGGAAAGCATGGAGACGAGGGACAGGGGATTGGAGGAGGGGTTCTGGGGATGGAGAAAGGCAGAGTTTTATGGCTGTTAAACTCTAAACATTTAACATTTTCTAGCTATAAACCTTCAAGTTCCCAATTCTACGAAGACTGATGCACATGTTTAACTTTATGAGCTGCGTGTAGACCCATTCCTTGAAAGTCAATGGGAGCTGAGCACTTCATTTCCTTAGGTTGCTTTGAAAATCCCAGTAAAAAGACATGCCATTTTGATGGAGATCCTTGCAGCAATCCTTTAAAGCGTGTCAGACACAGTAGTTCAAGATAAGCATCGTTCAGCTTCTCTTTAAGGAATTCCGTGAAGTTTTCATGTTCTACTTTGGAGGCTGAAGTTCAGAGTACTTCAAAGTAAATTTATATCTAAAGCAGCTTTGTAACAGAGTTTCAGAACTTTTACTGTATCTCACATTGATTAGATTAAATTATAACAGTGATTAAACAAGACTGTAACCCTTCTCAGATCCACATGAAGTGTATGTAGCCTTCAAAAATAATAATACTTTTGTCTATTAGGCATCCACCATTTAATATACAAAACAAATAGAAACATCATAGAAAATAAAACTAAGTACACTGTATATTATAAAAGGCAAGAGGACAATCAGATAATGGTCATGAGAGGTTAAAATTGAAAATACTACTGAAATAAAAGTTGGTGTTCAGATGCTTTTAAAATAAAATGTGAATTAGAGATAGAAAAGAATATTAATGTATGATGTACTGTGTTTGCTTTCAAGCCAGCACCCCGCCTGTCAACTTTCTGGAAGAGATATACACACTTCCAGTGCAGCATTATAATGAAAATGTATAAATCCTATTTTGGGAAAGAAGTCATACATAGGCATTATGAACATAGAACACTAAAGGCATTGTTATAACTCCAGTAACCATCTTAACCGTCCTAACACATGGGTGAGCTGGATTGGTTTCCAGCAATGAATTTGTCAGTGCTTGGCTGAGGCCTAAAGTCTTGCTGAAAGCTGGTACCTGGTCTGCCAGCATCACACTTAGTGCTACAAATTGCATTTCTATATCGTAAGTAAGGTAGTTTCAAATCTCTGCAAAAGGCACAGTTTATCCATTCTTTAGTGCGATAGCATTTTTCCTTTTGCTCTCCCCTCAAAAAACTGGGGTGTATGTGGAACTATATGCAAATTATAAGGAAACAAAATAAAAAGCAAATGCAAAATGAAGATTGCCATAGCGTTAATAGCTTGCATATATTGCCCACAATGTGGTTTTCTGGATTATTATTTTTATGTATTATTGCTTATGAATTTCCCCCATTCTGCAAACCCCTGCAAGTAATTTTACTTATGTGTATCTCATTGACTCAGTTACTGACATGCTCCAAATCAAAATAAGGATATGGTCCCTGAGCGGAGGAGACTACACTCTAGGGTACTGATCCTGCAAACATCAAGTCCCCAGTGTAGAACTTAAAATGATGAGCAATCCCATTGTTTTCAAAGGGACACCTCATTGTAATGCACTTTAATACACCTGGTAGTAAATTGCAAGATGACTTTAAAAGAGATGAAATTCTCTAGGCTTGATCCTACAAACACTTAGGTGAGTAATTTTGCTCATGTGAATAGTCCCATTAGATCAACTCATGCCGCTGAAACTAATGGGGGAGGGTCTGCTTAAAAAGTGATGGCATGTTATGGGACTTCTCACATAAGTGAACATCGGGCCTTTCATTATTATTTACTTGTTCAGTGCTGACTTTATTAAAACTGATGGCACAATAAGGCTGATTGATGTCAGTTGCAGGATGAGGCCCTAAGGTTATATATTTGTCATGGCTTTTCACAAGAGTCACAGATCCTGTGACTTTCATGGTTTAAAATAAAATATCCACAATGTTCACATTTTGAAGCTCTTGCACATGGGAGGGTGTGATGATGGTGACAGATTTCCTGGTGAGCCCCAGGGCTGCCCCTATTAAAATACTGGGCCATGTGGAGGAAGTCTCATAATTAGTGCTAGTGGTTGGCCAAAAGGGGAATCACATATTCTCTGATTTTTCTTTGAGTGTGTGGAAAGAGTCAGAATGTTCAGAGCTGGTTTGCATGTTATCTGCACAGTGCTGCTGCTCCTTCTGCAGAGGCAGAGAAGCTGTACTGAAGATGCAGCATGGCTCTCTGCTGCTCAGGTGCATCAAAATAAGACAAAGTGCCACCCTTCTTCCCCACCACACCCCATTGCTCCTGGAGAAATAGGCCTTGCTATGGGCAAGTCTGCACTTAAAACGTTGGGTCGGCACAGAGGCACTGGTGCAGCTGCATTGCTGTAGCGCTTTGATGAAGAGACTGCTCTGAGAGGAGAGAGCTCTCCTGTCAGCAGAGTTAATGCCGCTTCACAAGAGGCAGCAGCTATGTCGACGGGAGAAGTTCTCCTGCCAACATAAGGCTGTCTACATGGGGTGAGGGTGGGGGAAGGGGATTAGGTCTCACAGGCATGTGGATTTTTCACACGCCTGAGCGACATAGTTATACCAATATAGGTCTGTAGTGTAGACAAGACCTATGAAATATTAGGTTGGGAATTTTTTCCCTATCATCCCAGGAAATAACCTTATGCCTTGAAATACAGGTTTAATTACACTTGTTGCTCTCTTTAGCTTGAAACCTAACTGTGAGCTTGAATACTAAAGTATTTGTGCTGGATTCTGGAAGTGGTATATTGTATATGGGTTGAGACACTGCTCTGTGCAGAAGATAGATGGTCTTCCCCCCTCCCCCCAAAACAAAACAAAATAATGCTCATCAAAGTGCTAGCACGGAGTCTGCTAAAGGATCTAGGCTGGGTCTAACCATACCCTTCGCTTTCTGTGACTGTGATTGGACCATGTTAAATTTAAAATCTGGACCCAACTCATGTATGTTAGATAATCTTTTTGAGGAATGATGCTTCTGTCAAATCTATTTGGTCCAGCCAGGAACATTTTTAAAACATTTTAAATTTGTGATAATCACAAGATCTGAATGCTAGTTATCTCCATAAGGGTTTGTCTTCATTACAAAGTTAACTCGAGTTATACCTCCAGTGTTGCTCCTAACTCAAGTCCACCCACACACAAAAGGCCTTTAACTTGAGGGTGGTGGTGCTTTTAACTCTCAAGTTGGCTCACTGGTTGGGGGTATATACTAAGGCCATGCCTACACTATAAAATTAAGTTGACCTAGCTTATGTCAGCATTATATCATTTGTGTGTGTCTAGACTTTGGTCCTTGTGTCAGCAGTGCATGTCCTCACCAGGAGTGCTTCTTCTATCAATTGTACTGTCATTGTGGGGTGGAGCCTGAAAGCCAGTAACAGTCGACCTAAGCTACGCAGTGTCTACACTGACGCTGCACCAAACTAACTACATCAACCTTGACTCTATGCCACTCATGGAGATGGAGTTATTAAGTTGGCGTAGTAGGATACTTACATTGGCAGGAGTGACATTTAAGTGTAGATGCTCCTGTAGTTAGGTCAATGTAAGCTGCCTTGCATCGAGCTAACTCTGTAGTGTAGGCCAGACCTAAGCTCGAGTGAGCACAACTCACGAGCTGCTACCACAACCAATTTGCAGTGTGGATGCAGGCTAACTCCACTCAAGTGCAACTAATTCTCCAGTGCCATTTTAAAAACTTATATTCCTCCCCTCAATTTGCCCCATGTGCCCAGAAAGGATGGACAAGCTCTCCCACAATTCCCTGGGAAAGAACTCATACAGGAGATGAGCTTACTGCAGGACACAGCACCATGGAATACGTTTTAATGCTATGCAGAAGTGAGTGCAGCACCACTATGGACACAACAGCTCAAGTGTTATTTCACAGCATGGCTACTTTCACTCGACAGATGTAACTGGAGAGTAGATAACTTGAATTAATTCTGCAGTGAAGACATAACCTAGCAGGGTGGTAGGATTGTTCTGTTGACCATGTTGACAGGTGTTAGAATCCTGCAGGGAGATTGATTCCTGCTGACTCACTGGGTATGTCTACACTGCAATTAGACACCCATGGCTGGCCTGTGCCAGCTGACTCAGGCTTGCAGGGCTTGGGCTAAGTGGCTGTGTAATTGTGGTGTAGACACTTTGACTCAGGCTACAGCCTGAGCTCTGGGACCCTCCCACTTTGCAGGGTCCTAGAACCTGGGCCGCAGCTCGAGCCCAGGAATCTACATGGCAATTAAACAAACCCTGTAGCCTGAGCCCTGTGAGCCCGAGTCAGCTGGCACAGGCCAGCCAGAGGTTTTAATTGCAGTGTAGACATACCCATCATGGCAAATGTAGCACCATTAACTCAACCTGGACGATGAGAGAGGTGGGAGTAGCCTCTTTAGACAGAAGGGACTAGGGAGTAGGACAGAGAGGTCTATGCAGGGAAACTTTAGACCTTTAGCCATGGTTAGGGAGAGAGTTTAGGCTGTTGTTTTGATTGCTGACAGTAAACACCAGGAAGATAATAGGTTTTGGATTAAATATAGTGTGTGTAGGTTGTACAAATCCGGGTGAGACTTCCACCTATGCAGCCAGTCCTCTCCCTGAGTTATGGTAACTGGCATTTTTAATTCATATAATATTTCCCCAAACATTTTATGTATAGAAGAGATAACATTTTGCCATTTTAAAAACTTATATTCCTTAATTCTTCCCACTATGGTCTCCTCATCTCTCTCACTCATTCATCCTCAGTTACAGTTTGGGTTTCTTTCTCAATTCTCCCTCCTTCACCACTTAGTCTTTTCCCTCCTTCTTTCAACACAAAGTTCTTCTGCACTCTAGCACCTCCAGCTCATCTGTAACACAGTACCTATGATCACGGGCCATCTGCAACCCCCAGCTTATCTGTTACCCAGTCCCTACCAATGCCAGTTCATGTGTTACCTGTGTATCTGTACCACACAGCCACACCAACCCATCTGCACAATGACAGATTCTCCTAGCCCATGTGAACCTTTCATCCTAAGGCTTTAAGAGTGTGGGTTTATCCTTGGTGTTTTTCCTCTTCTGCAGACAGAGGAAGCACAACAGCCCCTTCTGGCTGGAGGTTAGAAGAGTAGGATAAAAAACAAACAAACCATCAAGCCTGCCAGTGCTGAGGGCTGAGGCTGAGTAGGCTGTGGAAGGGAATTGAGGAGGTGAAGGGCATGCTCCCATCAACGGTCCTGACGGGAATAACTTTGTAAAAGTTTGGCTACTGAAATCCAATGTAAATGCTGTTAGGTTCTTTGCTGGTGATTCTGTATTATATATTGTACTTCAAAGCAGGGCAGGATAGACCTCAACTAACATGCAGCTTGACTTCATTAAGGGTGAGTGAAGTGGAATATGCTAACACGGGAGAAGGCTGGACAAATGACTGCTGCTCAAAATAGAAATCTTTATGAATTTCACTCTCATGTTAGTGGTTATAATGTAACACCAGTCAAAGGATATAAATATTTAGATGGACTTGTAATAGATTCATTACGTTGGCATATAAAAAACAAAGTAAGGCCTAAAGAGACTTTCTTATGTGCAGTATCATATAAGATTTGTTTATACGTTTGCTGGCATACTTTTCCTTGTTCGTGTCCTTGTAGAACATCCAGCTTCTTTATGGGACCCTTCAAATTAATTTTTAATTAATACTTTAAGGACCATTCAAAGGAAAGCTTACCTATATATAGATATAAATAGCAGCAAACATTTTACTCAAGTTACGGCAAATGTTAATAGGTTTCTCTTGTGTTTGACACAATCAATAGTGTTAAATATCTCTTTCACGTATATAATTTCATCTTCAGTTGATGGAACTAATTCTGTTTCAAAGAAAAATAAATTCCATGAGACTGGATCATAAGATGTAGAATTATGACATACTGGTGGTTTAAATATTTTTTTTCAGCTAAGATAATAACTGAATATTTTATCACCTAAGGTTAACTCTGCTATTGGGTTCACATTTGAAAGTTATCCAATAACTGTTTACAGCCTATTATTTCTGAGGGATTAAAATGACACAAATTTCTGTCTTCATTTTTTACCTACTATTGTTATAAATCATACACAAGAGTACTGCAACTGGAATATATGAGTTGTGAAAAATATTTCCCTACTATTCTCCTTCAGCTATGGTAATCTCAGCTGTTGTAAATATAGTAAATACAAATTGTTCAAATAAATCTGATTTTCAAGTTGACACTGTCCCCTTTAACTAGAAAAGGCAATGTGGGCAGAGCTGGCCTTTTGCATTTCTGGAAGAGTCAGCAAGAGGACTCCTTCATCTCATTCCCACCCCCAAAAGTAAGTGACTTATTTTAAATAATAATAATAATATTTTTTTAGAAAGTGGGGGAGAATCGTTTGGCTGGTACCAGCATCCTCTGCCGAAACCCATGTGGAGCACTGCATAAAATTTCAACAGAATGGGTTTATTGTTAGAGACATTTCTTTCTCTCTCCTCCTCCCACATCCTACAAAGGTTACATGGTTGTGAAAAGGGACAACTCTTGCAACAAAGATGGAAATCTTGAAGGAGGAAAACATACCGTCATTCAAATCTCTCCATGTGTCAGCACTTATATCTACTATATCTACCGCTCCTACCTCATTTCTGACCTGTAGCTGTCTGTTCAACTGAGTTATTGAAAATCAGGACAAAAAACATATAGCAGAAAAGTCAGTGTTTTGTCCCTTAACCTCTCTCTCCCCCACTTTTGTTCTTGTTTGATGCTATGAAGCTATTTATATTATTCCGAAAGGACTTTCAGGGACTATTAGCTAATGGAATTAGGAATGTTAGGGAGGAGTTATATTTTTTAAACAATCAAGTCTGTTCAGTGCTGTTACTGTTTGTGTGTGTGTGTGTGTGTGTGTGTGTCAGTGTCACTTCGACATAAAACGTGGCTTGAAGGCACACTAGCTGACATAATTGAAAAGTATGAAGCAAAATCACAGTTCTTACTGAATACGCTGTAATGCTCTCTTTAAGGATATAGATCTTGATTCAATATTTTAATTATCAGAGCAATAGTAGTAAAATTTCACATTGCTAGTTCATTGGTTAATAAAACATACTAATGAAAAAATGGAATTATTCATGCCCTTTTATTCTGCCATGGACATGTGAGCTGTAATTTTAAGTAGTTGTTTTTTGCCAGAGCTGCCTGTCATGGGTTGTCCAGTACCCTTTTACGTGCAACTAGCATTTATCACTGCTGTATTGCTTTCAGATTTTTACATAGCAATTTACATAAACCACTATGTTTTTTGAGGGAGGAGAAAGCAGAAAAGTTTAATATTTGTTTACAATAATCTTTGTTTTGGCAGCAGAAATGTGTTGTGTTATGTTAGACCTCACTTCCAGGCTGAATTAAAAGAAACAGAGGAATGCAAATAAAGTAAATTCAGTTTGAAATGTTGATTTTATAATGAATTATTTAAATGATATTGTGGAGCTCTCTTTTTGTTTGATACCCCTACAGCACAAACAAAGAGTGCAAATCAAGTTGAAAATAAATGAATCAGTAGTGCAGCATAATATGCAAGTACAGCTTCTGAACTGTCATGGTGAAATGAGTTAGTGTATTAAACATCACGTTTGGATTAAGGTTCTCATCTATAGCACTTTCTAAAAATGGTAACAGTAAACTCAATGTGATTTGCAACAGGAGGAATTTTTGTTGATTTTTGTAGAAGTGCCATAATTGAACTGTTTATGAATAGTGCCTGAAATTGGCAATACTATTGCCTAGGCCATACCTGCTTAAACTTAAAATGGACAAACAAAAATGTAAGAGAGTGCTTCTTACCTCTTAGAAAATTTTGGCTCTTGGGTAACTTCCAGTCTTGCTCACCTCACCCAATGGTGATTCTTGTCCTCTCCCTTCCTCAACTTTCTCTGTATATAAAAATGCTTAATGAGAAGATGGAATGGGATTCCCACCTCTACCTGAACCAAATTTTAAGATCCTTGGTAGACGATGACCATATAAACAGGATTTAGACTAGTCTCATTGATGCGGTATCTATAATCTGACTGGTATAAAAGTGGTGACTGTTTAAGCTACTATAAAATGGTCAGGGAGGTCAACTAGGAAAGGGAAAAAGCACAATATCCAGAATAAATTCACTTTAAAATGTGGTTTTTCCCTAAGCCACGTTGATATCTTATCCTCTTCACTTAACTTGGTTGGATTATCAGACATATCTAACATAATCATTTCTCTGCTATTGTGGGGGCCTCTGGCACTGGTGCATCTCCATCTCTCCTATTCTCTGCCTGTAGCACATAATAGTCCAGTCTCCTATAGATTGTAATATCTTGATCTAATTTTAGTTGCTGTGTTTAGTGTGTGGGTGGTGTTGGTGGCCTGTGATATACAGGAGGTCAGACTAGAGGATCTGTTGGTCCCATCTGACCTTAAACTCTATGACTGTATGACTTTACCCAAGATATGGGAGCTAATTGTCCTATTCCATTCAGCACCAGTGTGGCCTCAACTGGAATACTGTATCCAGTTCTGGGTGCCACAGTTTAAGACAGATGTGGGCAAATTGGAAAGAGTCCAGAGGACAGCAACAAAAATGATAAACGGTTTAGAAAACTTGACCTATGAAGAAAGGTTAAAAAGCATTAGCCTTGAGAAAAGAAGACAGATAACTGTCTTCAAATATGTTAAGTGCTGTAATAAAGAGGACAGTGATCAGCTGTTCTCCATATCCAGGACAAGGATTAATCAACTTAATCTGCAACAGATTTAGGCTGGATATTAGGAAAAACTTTTGAACTATAAGGGTAGTTAAGCACTGGAATAGGCTTCAAAGGTAGGCTGTGGAATCCCTGTCATTGTAGGTTTTTAAGAACAAATTGGACAAATACCTACCAGGAATGGCCTCAGTTTACTTGGTCCTGCCTCAGTGCAGTGGGTTGAACTACATGACCTTTCAAGTTCTCTTCCAGCCCTACACTTTTATGTTTCTGTGATTGCTGCAAAAAGATCTTTCAGGCCATATATCCATCCATAACTGGGACTAATACAGTACTGCCAACTCCACACATTCAAAAATCCACACATTCAAAAATCAGCCCTCCTACCCCCGAGCCCCCAAATGGCTTAAAATCATGAGAGTTTCAAAATAATAAATTTGGAGTTCTTTCTATTTGTCTTGTGTTTTCTGAGTCTTGAAGGGTTCCCACTTTGAAGCTTTTCGCTGCAACCATAAGGATTTTTTTTAAATGAAAGTTGAAATACTCACAATCACCTGACTCCAGGAACTGGGACTTTAATTAAAGCACCAAATATCGTGAGACTTGTGATAAAATCATGAGTGTTAGCAAAACTGTAATAAGTTTTCCATATGTGGACAGGAAAAGAACACTGAACAGTTTTTTCACTTGGTGGTACAATTTCCCCCTGACTTCAAAGGGAACAATGTTTGATTTAGATAGATATAAATAGAATAAATACATCCTTATGAGCTGCTGCTGCCTACTTGGTCAAAATATTTCTTTAAAAGTGCCTAAACTATCCTGTTATTTTGGAGCTACAGGGCCATAATGTAATGAGAAGAAAATACACACGCACACACACACACACACACACACGCACACACACCTCTACACACAACAGGCTGGAGTGGTTGATTGGGAAGAAGCAGGAGTGTAGAAAGTAGATCTATGATTATACAGATATACTTTTCAAAATCAGCTCTATAGAGGGCTTAAGGGTGTGCCAAGACTAGAGCTTTGTGGCCTGGGAGGAAGGAGTAGGGGAGAAAACTCCATGTCCTCCAAGCCCCTCTAGACATCCCAATTCCAGCTTTGTTTTTGGAACCAAAATGTGATCCATAGTGTTTATAATATATGTGCCAGAATATTCTCATGGTACCAGAAAAACACATAGAGGGGATAGATTCTTACAGGTGTCTGAGCCAGCCAGAGGCCTAAAGGCCAACTTTCAACGAAAAACAAAAAATTAATTTACTTATGCAAAATATAGTTTTACACATGTGGAAGAGCTGGCAGGAATGTCTCTGAATCTCAGTGAATGTGACATTGTTGCTAAGATCCTCACACTTGTGGATTTTTGCTCAAAATCAAAGTGGCTATGAAAGATTGCTTTTATAGTTACATTTAAAAACTGCTTGTGTCTGTCTTTGAATGCACACTGATTTTGGGTCTGATGCCCATATAAATATAGATCATAATTATCATTAAACCACTTTTTATAGAGTAATGTAGTTCTTCACATCAAAACAAGTTAAGAATATGAAAAATATTACAATGGCATTAGCTTAGAAAAACTGTGAAGAACACAAAAGCACAATGCACTAGGGAAATACAGTTTAATTTTTTCTGAACTGATTCAAAATGGAAGGTTTCAGATTAGTTCAATAAAATGAAATATTCCAGTTAAGATTGAACTGAGCAGAAAAAAAAATTTCATTTTGATTTTCCTGACAGAAAATTGAAAAATTTCAGCACAACTGAACACAACACAAATTTCTTGGGGAAATTTTTTATTTTTGTCTGAAACTGCATTTATCATCTGAAAACTACTCTTGAAGAAAATTCTTGACCAATTCTACCTATTATTTTGTATCCTTTTTCTACCATTGCAAATAGGTAACAAGCATGCTCGGAGTAAGTATAATGAATTATTTTAAAGTTAATTGTATTGCATTTTACTTGACATTTTATAACCATAATTTACAGCTCTATTTAACTTGCACTTGAGTCCCCTGAATATTAAGAGATTCAATGTTTTAGAGTCTGGATGGAGGGGCAAGAGGAGAGTGTCCAGAAAAGCTACCAGATGGAACTGTAGGGTTAGCTCAAGTTCTATGCCAGTCTCAGAGACTCATGACAACAGAAAGTCCACCAGACCAGGATGATGCAAGTGTCAAAAAACTTTGCAACTTCCCCTCTGTTAAGGGGCCTGTATGTGGCCAACACAGGCCCCAAAGGAGAAAATCTTGGCCTGAGGCAGAACATGGGGAGAGTCATCAGGTTTGCACTAGAACAAACCTCCTCAAAATGTGCCCCTCCCAGCCTCTGCCAGGGGAGCTCCAGTGGATTTCACCTCCTAAAAATGGAGTGTTCTCTTTCTTTCCCGTCTCCCTTTCCCCCAAGAAAACAATGAGGGAAGGGTAGCTGTGAAGCTAGCTCCTGCCCTCATTTAAGATGGATCTGACTTGGAGCATGGAGGGGGCAAAGCTGGCTCAGGGAGGTGTAGCATCTCCCTGCATCCATTTCAGTGAATCTGGCACACAAAGCCTATTTTCAGAATGTCAGAGTTGACATGTTTGTCTGACACAAGGTTAGTGCTCAGTCCTGCTTTAGGATGCCTAAATGATCATCACTACAGACCTTGTAAAATCAGCCACTGCTGGAACATGCATGCCTACCAGCCAGTCTGACAAGATACATAGCTATGAGCAATAGACCAAGAGCAAGGCATTAGCATGTTTCTCTGTCTTCCCTTCAGTCAATTCACATGGATGTAGAGTCTAAATGCAAAGGAGTCTGTAATGCCCAGATATTTGAGAAAGTGAGTTGGAGATAAATGGGCTATTGATTTTATTTTCTTTCTTTCTCTTGCTCACTGTCAAAGATTCAGTCAGTCAGTGACAGCAGCATTGGTAGTCTCAGACCTGCTTGCATATCTTGGAAACTTCTCTAGATGAGTTCCTACAGAATGTTTTCAATATTCTGTGACTTTCAGATCTGTCAGTTTTGCACAGCTCATTCTGAGTGACATGGCAGGGTGAAGAGTGAATCAAAATTATTAGGATTCTTCCAGTGATGTGGAGGATTCATGGTAACCATTGGTGCAGAGGTCTCATTCCATCTCTGGGTGACATTTTAGTATTTCATAGCCTTTTGGAATGGTTGTGCAATAATAACCAGCTAACTTCAAAAGATACCTTCAGACCTATTAATAAAATCACACCAAGAACATCCCTTGAACACCAAATAGAGTCAGATATAGAGATGCTGTAGTTTAATACTGTATTTAGAATTAATTCGTGGGATGGTTTGAGGATTACCTCTGGAGAGCAATTGACTAAAATGGCTATAATATTTTTTTACATTGCTGTTCCTGCAGAGTGTTTTCACCAAATGTGATGTATGTAATCTTCACAAGCACAGCTCTACAATGCCATAGTTACAAAGAAAAATCTTGAGGTTCTTGCTGCGGCAAACCTCAGTGCAGTGAAGTGTGAGCACAACTAGAGTAAGGAGATGAGGATTTAAGCCCATAGTAAATATCATGGGACAATTGTGGGAGGTATTGTTAATTTGGTAACTACAGCACAGTGATGTCATTGTTGATATCAATAACATCCAAGGCCACTGCATTAAAGCCCAGTAAACTCACTGGAAAGACTCCCATGGACTTTATTGGACCTTAAATGAATATCACTGTTGTCATCTGTTTGTAAGACTTATAAAATAAAAAACAAAAAAGATAAAATGAATCTTTAAACCCATTGTTTCATCAGTTCTCTCTGTCCTCATGTTTATTAGCCACAAACTGCATTCACTGGAGCATACATGGGTTCAGAATTGTGAATCTCTACAAAGAAGGGAAGACCAAAGGAGAAAAATTCTAGAATGACAGGTTCTAAATAATTGGAAAATATCTACAACTTTGTTTAATATAGTAAAACAGCCTCTCACTTGCAGTTTTCCTCTTGGATCTAACAAGCCTCTTCCTTCCTGCCTTTATCTTTTGTATTCATGCTGATCCTCTAGCTAGGAAAGAAATTGAGTGGATTAGTATACAAAGGCTGAAGCCTGTGTCACAAAGGGAATAATTCACTAAGAAGTGCTCAGCAGAAACAGTTTATTTTTTAAAAACACCAAAGTACCTCCCTATAACCCACATAACGTTGCTGGGAATCACAAAGCTGTCCTGAACTGGGCTCTTTTTACAGTGAGGCAGTAGTGTACTACCTCTGTGCTACCAAGACTGTAAGGCCTTGACTAGCTACACGTGTAAGTTGTACCACTTTCCAGTATAATTAAAGCAGCACAACACCCTAGTGTGGACACAGTTATACTGGTATAATTAGGTTTATACTGGTATAGCTTATTCCTGTACAGCAAGGGGAATAAGCTCTACTGATATAACACTGTTATTTCAGTTTAACTGCATCCACACTAGGGCTTATACAGGTATAACTCTTTCAGTAAAAAAAAACACACCCATAACTGAAATAACAATATACCTGTACAAAAGCTATGTGTAGACCAGGACTCAAGCTCAGTACAAACCCTGTTTCTGCATCCATGCTGCTGTTCCTCCCCACCTGGAGCCACAGGGCTCTTATAGCGGTGTATGTGGAATTTTGCATTTGTGTGTGATGAATTAGTGGCGATATTATATATTTACTATGGTGAAATCAGACAAAGCATTAAGGGCCAGATTGCATGTAGTCCTTACACTGGCCTGCAGGGGTGGAAGGGGAACCACAAAGGGCTCCCTCAATAACCATCAGAGCACCTTGGGAAACAGATTATGCCTTAGATGGGAAACAATTTGTCCTAGGATGCTGCTGGGGGCACGGGTTTCACACTGCCCCCTAAACAGGGCAGTGGCACAAATGCCCTGATCTAACCATAAATTGTTCAGCCATTCCCCTGCCCCACCCCTGATCACCCTAAAAAAAAAAAGTGGAAACCAGGGCGCAACCAGTATTTAAATCAATTGACACACCATTTTAAAACTAGTGTTGTTTTCTTTCAGGAAGGAAAATAAGAGCCATTATGCTTTACAGAGTGTTTTTCCCCTCAAATAAAGTAGCTACTTTATTAAGGGCAGCTTTTGCACATGACTTGAAAACAACTACGGCTTCCAGAAAAAAAGAAATGCTAGAAATAAGTTTAAAAAAAAAGCAACAGCTATGTTGATGGCCAGATGCCACTGCCATCAGGTTATTTTTATATAGTAAATGTAGCCCAGAATTACTCTCACACATTGTTCTTTAGAAGTCTTCTAATTAAGGAGTTTTCTTGAAGGTCACAAACAGTAATCAGATTGGCTGATGAATGCTATTTGGCATCAAAAAAGCCAGATTACTGATAGCAATCCTTACAGTAAAAAGAGAAATACTGGTATATTTATGGCTATAATTTTAGCAAAGGTACGGGAATGCCCTGTGATTTTTTATTTATTTCTTGAACTACTTTTGAATGTTAATATTCTCCTGAAGACAGTTTCAGACAGATTGCTAGGCTGCTGCTCTACTCAGTGAAGCAGAATCTACTGAAGAGTTGCTGAGGCAGAACTGAAATCATAGCTCGCCTCAAAGAAACGACAGTATTGTCAGCTAATTACTTCTAACACACAAACAGCATTCTTGTATAACATTGTTTTTTATGTAAAAGTCTAAGCCTTTTAAAGGCAGCTCTAGTGCTTTTAGGTGTTCATCCCGGTTCTTTGCAGTCCCTGCTACTTTGCACTTACATTGCGAGCAAGGTAAAGAAGAATGGAAACTAAAGATACCTGTAACTACCCGTAACAGCTGCAGAAGGAAATGGGTCGGGTTTTCTCTCTACTAGATGAAGGTACTTGTATAACAAAAACTGTATGCCCATTTTACTTATTTATTTAATAAATAATCTTTATATTTTACAAGCCTGGTTAATACTGTTTATATGCAATATTTCCTGGATAGAGGGTAAGAATTTGTGACATGGAGATCTAAAACCTATGAAAATTAAATGTATCTAAAATAAATTAATACAAAGTATAGTGACCTTTACTGGTTTTTTTATATTTATTTTTTGAAAAGTTCATTAAGGTTAACAAAGTTAACCTTTACTAATGAAGGAAAAAGGAATGCAAAATATATTAGTCTCACTGAGCAGCAGATTTCTTAATCTGGAAAGATTTGTAACTGTAATAGGATTATTTTTTCCCAGTGGGATCCAGCCTAATCAAATATTTTAATAACATGTTAGCTTAAAGGGCTTTAACATTTAATATATTATGGACATGCCTTAGCAATATGCAATGGGGAAAGAATTACAGTGCTAGCATTTGTAAATTTTGCTAGCTACAATGCTAGCTGTAAACTTTTTAGAAGGAAAAGTACATGGAGACAAAGGGAAAAGGAAATAGTGTATTTTGTATGGGGTTCAAAATAGGGGCCAGGTCCTCAAATGGTGTAAATCCATTGAAGCTATGCTGATTTATACCAGCTGACTCTCACATGCTGTTCCTTTTGTTTAAATCCAATTAGCCAGTAAAGGGAGCAGTTACTTCAACAAAGTCAGTTGCTAATTCTGGCACTAAGTGGTTCCCCCAGTAACTTTGCCCCTATGTGCATATGCATTACAATAGGGTGTCTCATTAAATGAATACACGCAGCATATATACAGTAATACAAAATGCTACTTCTGTACATCTAAGGTAAAAGATACAGGTGCAGTTTAAACATTACAATATACTATTCAACATAATTACAGTGCACAGTGTTATTGGAGAGGCAGCCAAAGAAAAAGTACTGTTCCTTTTATAGTAACATAATGATAATACCCCTGAAATCCAACTAACTCCATCAAGTTGCTTTAACAAAGTCAGTCACTGATTCTTGCACTATGTGGTCTTTTTCTTGCCAGACCACCAGAGGCTC